GAGAGGGCGTGTAACCCAAGCTAATTTGCAAATAGTATTCATGGTACCAAATGTATCACACACTTTACAGTAATTATAAATTATATTTGAAAAATAAAGCACATCAAAAATGTATTTTAAAAAACAATTGGTTTTATCTGCAGATACTGGGTTGATATTGAGATTGACCATTTCAATGCTAAATTTTCTTTAGTCAAAAGGCACACTTGATTCGCAAAAATTTGTGAATGCGCACAGTACACCAATTTGTCTAATGTTTTGATTCCATAGGCAATGCTAATGCTATTACGTGTATTACTTGTTTCACATGAATCCATCGTGCTCAGATTCGACTGTTTTCAAGGTCTGAGGCTCCAACAGCCTTATTTTATGGGTACACAAGAGAATTTTTAGTGTGGCATGCATGGGTCAGTTGGAGTCACTAACCTCAAGATATCTATAAAGCAAGGATAAGATAACCTGGAAGTAACATTCCATAATTTAGAGTAAAAAATGTATCTGCCTCCACAGCCCTTTCAAATGGAAGATATGATGCCTCGGGGGTAATTTCTATCAAATATTTTACAGTATTATGGTTCTAGTGAAAAGGGGTGTAGGCGGCTTTTTTTTAAAGTGTGGTAGGTCTAGTCGAAAGACACATTAAATGTTTATGCTAACAACTGCGAATTAATATTGCAACGCATACAAGTTAACAGAATTTGTTGAAATGGTCCTGCCTTTTGCCTTTCTTCAAAATCCTCCTTTTTCTAACTATTCTCTTCTTCTCTGGGGATGGCGAAAATTCAAATATCGATGGGACATGTAAGCAGCTGATAATGGGTTATCTTCCCTTTTTCCTGAAAATAAATTAAACACTAATCATCATTTGACAGTGCCAAGTTTGTGTATCAGATCAGTAATAAATTACCTGCTAACTACCAAAACAATCAGACAACACCTTCTGACCATTAATGAAGATTTCTTTCAATTTAAAACGCAACTATGCCTACCAATGTGGGTAGTTTTTAGGATAGAATTTATCTGTGGTTGGGGACGGATTGCAAGGTGCAACATCGTACGATTACCATTCTATGTCGGGATTAGTTAGCCAGTTATTTGTTTTAGAAGCATGGACTTGATGGTGGGGGATGTCGTAATCGACCAGCGGTCGTGTGAACCACCCTTAGTGGGAGGAGAGCTGCAATCTCCTCGTCCCCTCGCACATAACTATCCCCGCATGGGATTGGAACCTGTGAAACTCCCAGGGGGATCAGAGATGCGGTGGCGAGCGTATTCTCAGATAGAGAATTCAATTGAATTTTGGTTATTTTTTGCATTAGCACTGGCATTAAACTTTAGTTATCTATTCAAATTTTCACACTTACTAATAGATTACCTGCTAACTAGGGAAACAATACCTTATGGCAATTATTGATTAATACCTTACACGAGTCAAGTCTGCAAGTAGGCCTAAGCCTACCAATAACAGTAGTTTGTCATCTGCTTTCCATTGAAATGAGGGAGCTTATGAATACTTAAAAAAATTGATAACGGCACATCATGACTCACCATCAACGAAGTGCTGTCCGCAAACAGTGAAACACGAGTAAGATGGCTTCTGGACTTGACACCAAGCAGTCCTGCCAATAGATGATATCCACATTGCGCGACGTTCCTGATCTTTTGAAAACAGTGGAATATAGCTGAAGATCCATTTCGTTGTCTATACTATACGTACAGCTAGCGGAACAATACGAAATAACCATTTTCAACAGCCAAACAAAACGGAAACGTATAATCCGACTTGCAACTTACAGGAGACAAATGGACGTTTTTGTTTTATTGCCGTCCAGTAACAAGGTCACGTGACCCGTGCAAGTCCTCTATATTCACAAATTAATGTACCAGATTTAATTGATCATGCGGAATTATAAAATTATACCATATATTTGCGTAATGAAATGCAGTGCTGTGAACCCATTATGCGTAAGAAAGGCACCTAAAAACATTTTACAAGAAAAAAAAACATACCAAATCACGTACAAACACAATTAACTATAGACAGTTTTGCTGCTGTTTCGTTTCAAATATAGGATTGCAGACGAGGCCTCAAATCAGTTTCTGCAACACGTTGCTCTACAGCTGCGTGCAGCCAATTTCCTTGCTTCAAGCTAGTGATGAGAATGTTTTTTATTTTCGCGTAAAGCATAAGTAACTGGTTGAAAATACTGAAAACAGTTTGATTGCTCGATTACTTAGCGATGGGTATTCGGTATTATTAAGAGATACCCCAAATTTAGACAGTGATTTTTTTTATAATCTGGACTGTAAAGTAGAATCACAATTTTAATCAGCTTTTCTTTTTCACTAAAATTTACATTACAATGACAAAGTCGTCGGTAACTTGGCACCAGTTTCAATCCTACTGTGCCTGCTTAATACTTGAAAAGATCTCAGCGGCCCATGGTTTTTTGCGTCTCTCTTGATCACCTGCAGGGTCACCACAAGTATACTGTTCTTTTCTGTTTTTTTTTGGTTTAAACAAAGAAATATGCATACCGTTTTATATGGATTGTCATATGAATAAAGAAAAGCATGAGTGCCGACTTTTAGGTTTCTGAATCTTGCGAGATTTGATGGAGCGCATTCGAGATGAATCGGAGCCGAAAGAGAGAAAAGTGTGATCGGCGCCAAGATGTCGCGAAAGACGTCGCAATATAACGGCGGAAGAGAAATTGCGCAATAAACTAACGCAACCTTGTCTTCGGTAAAGCGATTGATATGGCATAAAAACAACAAAATTTCTCGCGGACCGGCAAAAAGCTTCGCGGACTGGCGGTTGGGAACCACTGATCAACGGGAATCGCTAGTCATTTACGGCTTCCTCCGCCATCAAATCCATGTATCTGAAACAAACAACTGGCTAACCCGACATAAACTGGTAAGTGATACGCTATATGACTGAGCCGTCTTATCGACTATCCTCTCCCCAGAATAAATAAGAAAATCCACTTTGGAGCAAAAGCATCTGTGTGACGTCAAACAGTAGCATTATCGCACGCTTCACCGCCCACAGTGCGAACAACTGTTTTCTTTCATTTTTTATTATAAGTCACTAACCGTTGGGATATTCGGATTTCTTGACGACAAAGGTTTTTATATTACTGTATTAACCTTTTGTGTTTTGTTCTGAGGTCGTGTAAATGTTTTGTTCTTATTGATATGGGTTTGCTGTTTTTAGTGGAAATTTGGTACCGGTACTGGCTGCCGGCAGGCTATATTTGATAGTTTTATCAGAAGACTTTAATCACGCTGCCTCATCGAATTATCGCGATGTACTGTGAATGTGAACATAATTTTATTCAAATTAACATCAGAACAGTTTGTGACTATACTACGGTATCTGTCTATGTGACGTTTCTGTTAGGGGGCACTGGCTGACTGGGCATATATAAATTCGGGTCTGGTATAGTCAGGGATTCCATATCGTTCTTATTTCTAAGGTTTGTCCTTATTTTTAGCTTGCGTCCTTATTTTTGGCTTGCATGTCCTCATTTTGTCTTATTTGGACTTCATAAAGGAAGCTTTGTGTTGTTTGCTTTATCGCCAAAGTTTTATTATGGCATCATAAAATCAGTTGTCTAGTTGCAGAGTTGGCCTGGCTCAACAATTTTTGCATATGCAGATAGGGTGGTGTATGCAGTCTGCGGACGATTTCATTCAAACCGCTATAAAACAAAAACCAATATTTCTAACCCGTTAAATTTTTCACCGTAGGTGAACGAGGGATAAGTGGACGATAACGTGTGAGAAATATCGTCGCGGTTCGTTAATTTTTTCGGCATTAATTTAATCGATGATGTTGATGGTTGCAGATAGGTCATGGCCGCAAAGTGGGTAAGCCACCCTATGTCATTCCTAACCCCCACCTGACTATGTCACCAAAAAAATATGTCACTAAGACACCACAGTGGCGTAAAAATACCTACAAAGCGTACGGATAGTCGTTCGAAACGCGCAGACAATCACCCAAAATCGAGCAAGCTATTTTCCTCGTCGCAACGATCCCGATATGAGAGAGACCGCTGGCGTTGGTGAGTTTGGTATCCAGGTATTGCCGAGACAGATGCCAACCGACCATTCATGTCGGTTATATTATTAGTTGTTGTTTGATTCAGATGTATGGACTCGGTGGTGGATGAAGCCGTAACTGACCCCGATTATATGAATCACTCCACGGCGGCAAAAACTGAAGAGCCCAGCAATCTTCTTGTACTGTTGTATATAGTCTAAATATCTCTCACAGGATTCCAACCTGCGAACATACGCAGGGTAATCAGAGTTGCGGCAGTGAGTGTATTCCTAATGCTTGCCGCTGAGCATTGTTCAGTTGTTACATTGTTTTGTACATACGATACCATTCTGCCATTGCCGAACAACTCAGACTTATGACAAGCTGTGTGGTTCCTTAGTAGCAGTGTTGTTATCAAGTATTTATGAATTTAATTAGAGTACAATGGGTACCTACTGATTGAATTTACAGCTACCTGGTTTTGTCATCCAAAGATTATGTCACTACGACCTCACAATCACCTCAAACAGCTTGCCAAAGTATAGCTGTGATTGATGAAAATGACATCTTCACCAACGTTAACGAACTCACAATCGCTAGCGATCTATCTCATATTGGGATCATTACGACAAGAAAATGAGAGAAATCATCTGCGCGTCTCGGATGACCATTAGTATAGTTTGAAGGGCCTCATTATGTTACTGTGACATGGTAGTGAGGTAATTTTTGAATGACGTAGTCAGGTGGGGTTAGGAATAACGTATGCAAAAATAGTTTTGCCACGCCTACTAAAAGTACTTGTGTACTTGTCGTGTTGTGAACATGGCCCGAATATTTCAACTTCAAGAAAATGGCCAAATTTTGGAGAATATCCCTCCCCTATTCATTCTACGTATATAATGTGCGAATATTATCAAACATTCATCTTTTCTTATAAATAATTTACAGATATTTTAAATTTGTATAGAGATATAAAAAAACATTTGGATAGTTGCAGAAAAAAGCCTGCTGCCATTTGTGCAGCATGGTTCTATGATGTGACATCACTTTGGATTATTCTTAGTAATGCCAAACCCAAAAAATATGAGTCGGCAGACTTGTTCCTCTAACACAACCAAAGCTAATAGTGGGGATATGCCTGTCAGTGGACGAAAACCTGATGGTACTATAGCTTCAAATAATGACTTGGCAAGTTTATTTGAATGCCCTGTATGTTTTGACTATGTCCTACCTCCAATTCTGCAATGCCAAAGCGGACATTTAGTTTGTGGGGCCTGCAGGCCTAAATTAACATGCTGCCCAACATGTCGCGGACCTTTGGGCAATATAAGAAATCTGGGAATGGAAAAAGTCGCAAGTTCTGTGCTATTTCCGTGTAGATATGTATCATCTGGCTGTGAATCGACTTTAATATACACAGAGAAGTCTGAACATGAAGAAACATGCGAATACAGGCCTTATTCTTGCCCGTGTCCCGGAGCCTCATGTAAATGGCAAGGATCATTGGATCAAGTAATGCCACATCTGATGACAACTCACAAATCTATCACTAATTTACAGGTAAATTGTCATTTACAACTTTTTCATTTTCGATGAGGTTATTTTACAGGGTGTTTTCACTTTGTTAACCATTGAACATAATGGGGTTTTAAATTTACCAAGCATAATAACACTATAAATGAAATGATAGACAGGAAGGCCATGAGTGAGTGAGCCTCCGGAGGGGCCACGAGTATAAGTGGTTGGGAACCACTGTTTTAGACGACTGATTACAGTTACAAGTTGGCCCAAAAAATAGGTTGTTTGGAACTTATTCTAGGGAGGATATACCTATTGTGCAAAGTATCCTAACTCGAACTTTAGGGTACAATTAGGGATGGGCAATGTAGAATAATATACTATTCTAGAATATTCTAGAATAGTTAAATCGAATCCAGAATACCGAATCCTATTTTATTTCCATACTTATTCAAATAGTGGGAATTTCTACATTGCTGGATTTAGATGGTAAAAAATTGCAATGTATTACTTACTATAAATGTGTTATCTATTTGGAAATGTCCTGACATTGATTTCATTTGAAACTAAACAGGCAGTTCCCAGGACAATAAAATTTAGGAATTTTACAATATTTTTTGCCTCAATTGTTCCAAATGTATGTAATCCCAAATACTGATATGCTAAATTAAGACACACTTTACACACTTTAATAGTAAGCGGTTAAATACAAAATAGACATGAAACGGCGTAAATCAATTATTAATGTAAGTCTGCCGAGTATACTAAAACATACCCGCTGAGACTTAATTAGATGCTGAACCAGCGTGTGACCACTGCAACCTATGCGCCGTTGTAAAATATTAAATTTAACCACTATCAATTAAAATCAACCTTTGATTCTGTGAGGCAAGACAAACCGTAAAAACCAAGTTCCGTAAACGCGATTTCGTACTTAGTTATTAGGTATAACATCTGAAAGACGAACTCATTTCAGAACTCACCCAGACTTGGCCCTACTCAAATTCAATATGTCACTATCTTCGCCAGATGCGGCAACTTTTTTCAAAATTCATCGGCGACTAAAATACTACAGACTTTCGATCAAACGTGCGTCTATCTTGAACGATAGAAATGTTATCATTATCTACCCAGACTTAACCCTACTCAAATTCAATACGTCACTATCTTCGCCAGATGCGGCAACTTTTTTCAAAATTTATCGGCGACCAAAATACTACAGACACTCGATCAAACGTGCGTCTATCTTGAACGATAGAAATGTTATCATTAATCATTATTTACCCAGACTTAGCCCTACTCAAATTCAATACGTCACTATCTTCGCCAGATGCGGCAACTTTTTTCAAAATTTATCGGCGACTAAAATACTATAGACACACGATCAAACGTGCGTCTATCTTGAACGATAGAAACGGACCGAAAAATATGTAATCTTTTGGGAGTGAAATTTAAATGTGACAGTTGTTCGCGTTTTGCGATATAACTTTGTATTTCGGAAAATGGTATAATAAAATTATTCGTAAATTATATTTGATCTAAGTTAATGGCGAGTAATGTTATAACATTTAAACGCCTGGCTTTTGGTTTACGTGCATCATTTTTTTGGGAAACTCGTAGGTTCGCGAAAATGCATTTAATTTAAAATGAGGCAAGGCACGTCTGTACCAATTAAAGATTGTTGCATTCAGATTATCGGAATATCACCAGTAAGTCGGCACAAATAACGCTAGCTAGATAGCAAAGAGGAAAACGCAAAAATGGTGCAATAACTAGTCCTCGCCGTGAGGTTATATTACCGACTTCTTATCCTGAATATGCCGATTGAAATGAGAGTGTTTGATGTTTACTGATTTCAGGGTTCTTTGCGAGCAGACGCAAGTTTAATTAAACGAGAAAGATTTCCACGCGAGAAAAACGCTCGTCTATAATTGATAATTTAGAAACCCGAAATACAAAAATTGACGCTTGGCGCCGGAGAGGCGGAAACCGAATCCTGTTATCGGATCCCGTTGGATTCGAATACTTTGGGATTCGAATCCTCCGGATTCGGTATTCTATATTGCCCATCCCTAGGTACAATCGTACACAAACAAATGCTGAGTAAATTTTCATAGAAGCAATCAAGAAATTTATAGCTTCAATTTTTTTGGCATCCTGTGCGTGTGAAGTTAGGTGTACTTTCATTCTATAAGTATAGAAATTTGATTTTGGATAACTAGAGAAATTAACTTCATTAAATTAAACTCAAGATTAATGCTCATTAAAATAGTTTTCTATGTCAGACTTAGGGTACTGAACTTTATGGTAAATTTTATAGTTGAGAATTCTCGTCTACGTAGGTGTAGCTATACATAAAATTAGATAGTTTGAATAGGCTATATGAGTTGAAAAATTCGGAAATGTTTTATGTATAATGAAAAAAATAGAAATATACGAAGCATTGATGTTTTTTCGATTTCGCATTTTACTTTTTGAACCCATTGAATATACATTACCTGAATGTGTTCTTTGTTGAACATGAGGATCAAACGCGACCGTATAAAATTTCAGGCGATTCGTGGATTGGGAAACACTGTGATAGAGCATGGTGCGGATTCGCATGGGCTTCATAGATTAAATATCTTCGATTCAAACGCAGGGTGTAGTGTCAAACTAGAAATATTTTGATCTTAATTCGGACCGCTTTACTGAATTATAGTAACAAAACAGCTGTTTCAACGATTATATTTACGTAACAGAATTTATTGTGAGACTTATAATTAATAATATTATAATCTAACAAGTACAAATTCACAATTACTCGTTTAATGGACTTCTAATTTAGTTATAATTGGACAAATGCCAACAAAGTTGATGCTATGTGCAAAGGATTCAATGGCGCCGAGAATATTTGAATGGAATTTTTTGAGATGCAATGCAATGAGTAAATAAATATATATCCTTTTCAAAAGATGTATCACTGCTTCTGAAGCCTATGGGCAGGGCACTTGGCTAAAACAGACAATCCCCGAACTCGTAGTAGAACTAAAATAAGGAAAATCGGAATGAAATTATGGCCTAACCCTAACCTGTTACACATACTACAAGAGTCTTGGAATATGGAAATACCAGTTATGAACAACCCTATTACTAAAAACTTTTAATTCTCAGTAAGATAATCAATATGCAACTGATGTGTGTAGTGATTAAGTGCTTTGAGTATTAGGTCAGTAGTTGGTTCATGTTATTGCCAGAGTCAATTGGGAATTGGAGAACTAATATTATGGATAACTGGTCCATTTATCTTAGTATTGATTTTTGTTTGTCTTTGAAAGTCTCTCTTTCTGACCTTGCCAAAGTGATTGATGATAGTAAGCCACTTTACAGTATGATATGCTGATAAAGCTGAGAGTTTCAAATTAAAACCCATTAGATTATCACTATATATGGAACAAACAATAGTTTTTTCCAGTAAATGTCTGGATGATATTAAGTTCTGTCATAATTATTTTTTATAATATGTAGTTAAATAGTTTATATGGCAGAATAAATTTTCTCTAAAGAAAGTGGAATATACCGATTCTTGTCTATTCACTTTTTTTAAAAATGCATTAATGAAAAACTAATGATAAATATAGAAGGTTTATTTCATGCCACATTGTAATGTGGTTTGGGAAAAAATTTATAAAAGCTTGTCAACATACATATCAACAATATGTGTGCTATTGTTCTATTCTAAACTCACAACAAACATATCTCCCCCTCTCCTTATTATGAAAGTTGAAATTCGATACCAAAGCGCTTCAGGAAAAAGGAAGTGTGTATATCTTGTCCTCTGTGTGCTGGATTTATTATTCACTAAATCAAAAACAATTTTGTCTTCAAATTCAATATACCGGTAATAATATTGTCAATACAGTCAAAGTATTATTCAACTCTGTCATTTACTTTAAATTAATGTTGTCATCATGAATCGCATCAAGTGAAAAACTCGCTTATTTGCCCTAGAAATCCACTGTGAGATAGAATAGGCCCTAGAGCAGTGCTTGAGGGGTCGCGAACCCAGGTCGGGGGGGTCGCGAAGTGTTTCCATATCTTACATACAGTTTTCGATTAGATCGGGAAATTATGGCATTATTGTTACGTAACAATTATGAAACAATGTAACAATTAGAATTATGCGTTTTTATCAGACTTGATCTGATAATATGTAGGCTTATCATACGTCCTGCTTTTTAGCGTCTTGTCCTGCCGTCCCGACAAGTCAGTCAAAAGCCCCGCTTTGGCGTTCAGCCATCCAGCATAATACACGAACATGTTCTTGTTACTGTTGTTTGTGTGTAACGCAGCGCTAGCCTACTTAGTGAATGTGTTTGTTTCGTTGTTTCCCGCTAACATTGTTAGAAAACGTATCGCATGTAAAACCAATACTATAATTAGTCTAAATTCGAATTATTTGTACCGGAATCGTTAACGTCAATTCCTTTTTATTTTTCAAACTGAACCCGATATTTGGACAGAATATGCGCATAAATTCTCGATGACAATATGGGTAATAAGACAGCCGGAATAGCTTTATATGTAGGCCTATGTAGTAAAAACGGAAAATGTAAAGTTACAAAATCACAGCTAAGGGGTCGTTGTCTTTAGAGGCGTCCCACTTTGAAGTCACAAAAATATGGTAACCCTAATAATATGCTATATACAAGATCTAGTTCTGCATTAATAGTAAACTGCATGGGCATACATTGTTTTTTTTCTCGTATATTAGCATTTCATTGTGAGTTACACCCAAAAAATGGCAATAAAAGTGTGTCGCGAACTGAAAAAGGTTGGCGAGCACCGCCTTAAAAATCTGCTGTAGAATGGAACATGCCTCAGAAACTGGTAACGGGGGTAGAAGGTTCAGTTTGAGAATACTTGGCCCAAATATGTGATATTTGGATACAAATAATTAATACAAATTTATTTTTCAGGGGGAAGACATTGTATTTCTGGCGACAGATATTACTTTACCTGGTGCAGTTGATTGGGTGATGATGCAATCCTGTTTTGGACATCATTTTATGCTTGTATTAGAAAAGCAAGAGAAGTACGATGGACATCAACAATTTTTTGCCATTGTTCAACTTATTGGAACTAGGAAACAAGCAGATAATTTTGCCTATAGGTGAGCTTATTTTTTCTAGACAGGGGTAGACAATTTCTTTTTGAATGGGCCAGTTACAGATAGACTTGGGTACTAGGCCAGAGGCTCAAAACTCGTTATGAAAAACTATAAATGAAAAACATTTTGTTTGCAAAAGCTAGTCCAACAGCTAGGCTAACGTTTATATTATAATAGGAAGGGCAATGTAACAATCGGAGTCAATATGACAATATTTTTACTGAGATTTTCTATCGAAATTTATATCCATAAAAACTATATTTGCAATTTCAGCAGACACAAATGGGCCAATTGTAACACTTCGGTGGGCCAGATTCGGCCCCCTGGCCATAATTTGCACACCCTGTTTCGGAATCATCCACTTCCTTATTTACTTCCTTACTTTTAGCTAATCAGCAGAATGTCAATGTTGATGTAGCGATTGAACAGCTGCTCAAACACATTTTAGACTCAGGCAGGTTATCAGGCATCGTTGTGAACATTAGCTTGTTTTCCTGGTTTTGCTAACTAGGGTATTCGTCAGTTTTCAGTTGTCTTTCCGAAATTCAGGTTTAAATAAATTCAATGTCCCCCTCGTTTTCCTCTTTTCAGAAGTTTTGATTTAGTTGCAAATTGCAATAATTGAAAATTAGTCGCAAAAAAACTGCGATGGACTAGGATGAAATAGGTTCACTTTTATTTATTTTATTACTTTTAATTAAATGGCATGTAATTAATATTTGAATCAAAATGGTGGTTATGATCAGGCAAACTAGATTGTAGGCAACATTTTCAAATATTCTCTCGAATTGAAACAATAACAATTTTTTTTTAAAGAAATTTAAATTTTTCCAAAGACTTTTTTCCTTTTCTCTGATGATATTCGCTCAAAGTGATGTTACACGCACTCACTCAAAAATTGTGGAGATTAGTCTCTGAACGAAGTTGAAGCATATCGTGAATATGGTGACTAAAACTATAAAGAATCTTAGTGTAGAAATAAATTATGAATACAATTACTTTTTCAGGCTTGAACTAAATGGACCTAAACGTCGATTAACTTGGGAAGCCACTCCACGTTCTATTCATGAAGGTGTTTCATCTGCAATCACAAAAAGTGATTGCCTCGTTTTTGACTCTGCGATAGCGCACATGTTTGCAGAGAACGGGAACCTCGGTATAAATGTCACTGTATCTATGTGTTGCAACTGCAACTAAACAACATAAAAGAATTGTTACGATTTGCTGTTGTCCAAGACATTCTATTTTCTTGGCAAAGACTGAAAAGGGATGATATTGTTAAACGGTAATAGAATAGCCGATATAAACCGTGTTTTATTCTACTGTGTTAAAGAAATCAATCAAATTATTCAGAGTAATGCACTGTTATTCAGTTTTGTGACCTACTTTCTGCAAGTCTGCTTGAAACAAGTCTTGAGTAAAAATCGGTTGACAACTTGATATTGACTTTATTTTAAGGGAGGTAAATGTTTAAAAGCACCATACAGGGTATTCCCCCTTCTCTCACCCCCTTTTTACTGAAGACCTTATGAAATTTATGGTTTTTTTTTTCTGGGGTGTCTCTGTACTTCAATTTAATATCTGGTAACAGTGTAGCACCATATATATATCTTGATGATTACTTTACATTATGCTCGAACTGAGATTGGCCAAACAAATTGAATATTTGAAAGTAAAATACAAGATTTTCTTGTGTGGTTGTAAAACCCAAAATAGGTAGTAATTTCAATATTGCCAATTAAAACTAGGGTTGTATAAACAGTGGCATGTTGTCACTAGAATCGAAGCCGATATTTTTTTCCATAGTTTTAAAACCTCAGTCTAAATTGCTGACTTCCAATAGTGATAAAATAATTTGAAACTTCATACTAAAACTCAGAGAGTGTTGATTTTGCTATATATTCCTAACAGTCTATTGAAGCTATTCATTAATAAAATTAGTTTTTCTAGAAGTTGAAGCCAGAATCAAAATTTTTAAACTAGTAGTCTAGTACAGGGGTGTGCAACCAGCAACAAAATTGTACGTTCACCGAATAAGTGCCAAATTTTGAATGGTGTGCAGCCCTGGAAACCAGTTTTTAAATTAGTTTGATCATGTATATGTGAATAATTCTAATCTCTTTGCATTGCGAAGCCTATACTTGAGTCAAACTTATTATCTATGCCTATGATGTCACAATGCCCTGATAACTAGCTTGTGCGCATGTCATAGATCAATAACCAAAATTTTTGTGCCTGCAACTACTAGAACGCCTATGTAAAATAAAGGTGCGGTCCACGGTTTCACATAGTATTTTGAATATGGTCCTTTTGTATTTGAGGTTACACACACCCCTGGTCTAATACATTGTGGATTTTTCCCAACTCCACAGACCTGATCAAAACAATGTTTTCTTCTCTCACATTGTGGATTTTTCCCAACTCCGCAGACCTGATCAAAACAATGTTTTCTTCTCTCTTCTGTAATTTTTTCACCCGATATAAATAGATTTGTGCAAATGTCTCTGTTCAATAATATCACCCTGTTTGAAATATATAATTCTACCAATTCAATATTTGCGATCGGTATATATTTCCAAGAATGTATTCATTAATGTAATGGTTTGGGTTTTTTCTTCAATCTACATTTTGTTTACCGCCAGAATATTGGGACAATCACATCTTTCAGATTTTATGCTTTTTTCTTTAAATTTATTCTGTATTGAACTCTTTCTCTGAACTGAGCTGTAGTTTCAAATTTTGCTTTTTTCGTTTTGCTGTGCAGAACATTGAATAGAACACTATATAGAATGGTCAAAATTACTAATTTTCGAAGGGAGATTTTGTTGTTTTATAGAATTTGGCATTTCATTATTTTGGTATAATCTATGGTGTTTTGGAGCTAAATTTTCCCCTCTGAAACTACAAGCATGTCATATTAATTATGTCTCATAGTCGGCATCACACGGTATATTTTCACTGGATAATTGGTTGTGGAATTCATGAAAATTTCATTTAACTCCTGCATAATTAAATTTCAACTGTATAAGCTTTGGCCAATCTTGTTCTGTTACAATTGGAAAAACTAAATATCGTCATTCGAAAGTTTCAATTTCAGTTCCTAAGAAGTGTGAAATTTGGAATCCAATTCTACTTTTAGTAACATGATTTCGATCCCAATTTTTTTTATTTTTGAACGCTTTCCTTTTATTAATAGGGTTACTTACCCCTTACATTAGTAAGCCTGAAATTGCTTTCTCATTCTATGAAAATCATTTTATTCAAATTCAAAATGTTCCTATTTGAATTTATTATGTGAATGGTAGAGTGTATTATTTTCTTATGTGTTGTAAAATTTACTGATTTAAATATTTTTCTTATTTTTGTCTCAGATTTTGTTTATATCCGTCATTTTTTTCTTCTTAGGGCACAATTGTATATCTTTACTCCAGACAGCCATAACAGGAGCGAACACATACTTATTCGTTAGAAAGTATTATAACTAGAGATGTGAGTTTCGAATATTTTATTTTCGAATCGAATGGTTCCGAATCCGATTCTATTTAGTATAACATCATATTACAGTGGACTTTCTTACTCCGTGCTCTCAGCTTATTCAGGGAAAATGACGTTTATTGCTCTCTGTTTTTTGTTCGAACTGGTTTTCAGGTTTTGCAGTTAGTCACAGTTAAAATACATTAAATGAATTCTAAAACATCAAGGTATTCAGATATATTTATCTCTGGTACTGATTCTCTGTCTTTAATGTTTAATTGTCTGTTGTAAAATATCCATCCATTCAGTTTTTTTATTATTTTTCTTCAGGGCGTTTACTTGACAAAAGTGCCTATTTTGTCGACTATATAAGCTGTGTGAAGCTCAGTTTTTTGAGTGAGGTGAATTGATTACTATTTCAACCATAGTAACCCATGACCACCACCTGGCCCTAGGTTCAATTAATTGGGCAGACCACGGTTTCTCAAACTTTTTGGGCCAACGGGCCCCTGGGACCCCCAAAGCTCTACCTGTATTATGTCATATTGTTAAAGAACTTAAAATGTTGCCTTGCACATCCAGGTCGTTGCAAAAGGCTGTGAAATTTTAATTGCCTTTTCTTACAGTAATGGATATTTGTCCGCAACTATGAAATAAAAAGGTGCAATGGCATTTAGATTGAAATTATTCATTGAAGATCAATCGATCAGACTCTTCTCATATAATTGCGGACCACCAATGCAGTGATCAAGAACCCCCACTGGTCCGCGTACCCCAGTTTGGCGAACCCTGAGATAGACAGTATCGAACTTTCCGAATATCGCAGCTCCCTACATATTAGTTGCTGCTCGCACTGAGCCTTGATTAGAGTGGAAGTATAAAATTTTCTCTTAAAATTAGAATTTAATTTTATCTTAAAGCCTATCCATTTTTTTCTTTGTACACAATGATTGATATTTTAGGATTTTATATAAATATTAAGTTAGGTGGAACTTCAGTATAATAACCTAACGATATTGCAAACAACTTTTTGCATCTTCACTGTGGGCACAATCGCTTACTGGTGAGCGATTAGTATTATGATAGCATGTGCTTATTAACCGACGCTCCATAAGTGTGTGTACCACTTTGGAGGTAACTAATTTTGTTCGCCTATTACATTAAGTTGTGTAAATGGACGAAAACCCATAGGCAGGGGGTATATTCATTTGGCTAGTACAGACAGACAGTTCCCGAACTTGTAAAAAAACTAAAATAAGAAAAATCAAAATAAAATTATGGCCTAATCCTAACCTGGTACACATACAACGGGAGTACCCATTATCTGTTGCCTCTCTCCAGCAAAAACTTATGAGCATTTTCTGGTTCCTAGCTGAACCTTGAACTCCTGAATTATTTCTTACATAACTCAAAATTCTAGCTATTCTGTAACCAAAGACCGGATTATGACGTTGCTGTTGTGTAACACCATTGAGATAACAAACCGCCATATGCATATTTAATGAATTGTTCTGAGAAATAACTATTTTAAGATGTATTATTTTGTCTTGAAATAATTTTGATACAGATCATGACCCGTTTTTCAAGTATCGAGGATTATTAAGTGAAATATTTAACATAAAAAAAAATCTGATAAAAATTGAATTTTAGATCAAGGGTTTGGCAACCTTTTCTGCACTGTGGAAGCTTTAATTTCTTTTGCATTTAAGCCTTAAGAATAACACTATACGGACGATGGCCTTCCAGGTTCTCATTGGTTTATATGTACATTTGCATAGTTAGATGCGTGCTTTGTATCGATATCTAGAATTTTCATACCTAATGAGACCACTAAACTATTGTGACAATTGATCAAATTAGGATTATCATGAAAGTTTGAACAGGGGTTCATTAGCTTGAAATACGTTCAATAAATTATTATGATTCAGCCTATTATTTTAAAATATCATGATGAATTATCTTAATATTTTTTTGGTCTGTTGTTCTGAATGTTTTCATGCATTGGTTTCGTATTTTTTTTAAACTCTGACAGTGGTTCTCTCAAACTCTCACGATTCGATGCTCTTTTCCAAAATATTTCACAACTTGTGCCAACTGCTCTTCTGTTAAAAAAACAAACAAAAATGAACTGAACAAATACCAGTCAATTACCTTTTAAAGTAGTCATTGTGGAAGAGTGGTTTCCAGGGCATTGGTTTTCAAAGTGCTCCACGATCGGCCTCATTTTCGCGAGACAACTGAGGGGCTCCATGAGCTATTTGTTTACATATTAAAATACTAACTTGGATAATTGTGTAACTGTCCAAAGAAGTAATAACGACATTAATAAAATTTGACAACGGCAGCATTAATTCTAATATGACATTATATATTGCAATAGAAAATGCCATATTTCAATTACCGCCTTGTTGCCGCATTTCGACACTACTTCATTGACATGTTTGTCTTTATTGATACGTGTTGAACTGGTGGAGCAAATTTACTGTAGGGCTTCATAAAGAATAGTCAACCATGCTCCATAACCCCTTCCCAGCCAAGGCCCCAGTTCGAGAAACCCCTGGTCTGTATTATTTATTTTCACCTAAAATTTAATTCCACACAACCGACTCTATTCAAACCCCTTTGAAATTTGATCTAGTTCTTTCATCAGTGGAAAAATTAGACTCATGAATGGTTAGACTTTCCAGAAAGGAAGCCAAAATTAAAAATAAGAGAATCAATTTAAATGCAGTTTTGAATGAGGCAATTCTCCAGTGAATATAAGTCGTTAGACTGAATTACCTAGATGTTGGCATTGCATGTTAAACTTCATCTCGGTTCAATCTCATGCCCACCAGGGTGTGATAAACTGGGTGGCAATGCTGAAATTGAAAGATTTCAGGCCTTCCAAATGAAATCTTCTTACATGTGAATATATATATATGGCCTTGTTCGGAGCACCATATAGATCATTTGAGAAGTCGGAACGGGTCTTAAACTTGAGTCTTGATGTATTACATGTAGGGCTGGGAATGGTTAACCGATTTTAGATGGTTAACGGTTACGATTTAATTCAACCGTTAACTGACATCTCAGGTTCAAATCATCTTTATAATGTACAATTCTTTAAAAAGTGGCAGTGGCCGCTTTTCACGATTCTCTTCAGAGCAAAATGTGGAAGCGTTGTATCAAAAAATAATCAAGGCGCGACTACTAGCTTTTCTATGTATAGTGGGATGGCATTGGATAACTGTAAGAAGTAGAACTTTTATTTTCTTGTCTTTTTGAGAAGGATGTTGTTGCCATTCTTCATTTTTCTGAGAGTCATCTTATTATTATTTTTTGCATAGTTGTTTATATTTCAATAGTCGTCGAAATAAAGGCTTGTGAAAGCAGATTTGTGATTCTAATAATTGAGTTACAGGGAATAGGGGAGTGTTGTTTTGAAATTTACGTTTGTCAGGTTGATTTTAAAAGCTAGCGAGTCCGAGCCTTGAAGATTTAAGAAGCATTTCAAGCTAGGAAAAATGTTATGATACAGAGAAATGCTTTCTTTACATTTCAAAAGGGAGGTTCTAGCCCTCAATTCCCCTGGATAAGCAAGTAGAGTCGCAGGTAGTCAAGAGTACAAGTCTTTTTACTAGAATGACTCAAGAATCTTTTGCTCAAGCCTCTGCAAATACTGGATGGCCATGGTCTTAACTAGGGCTGGGCATTTCGAACTGGTTCAGAGCCAAGTTTCGAATTGCCGCCATCTTGTTTTTTTCTTTCCGCCAATGGTCAAGGTGAATTACCCCAATTTTTTTTATAGAAGCCATAATTTTTCAACGCAATTTTGACATATGACTATTTTCTGTAGTGAGTTATTGTTAAAACGTGTTTCTTATTGTGTGTGTATGCTCAGTAATCTATCTGAGAGATGTATTCTCAGTAATTCATTTGTTAAGAGGACCAATTACTATAATAAAATCGCTTACAATTATATATTTTCAAGTATTCGAGAATCGATTCGAAAAAAATATTCGATTCGATTCTGAAATCACAAGGTATTCGAAAATGCCCAACCCTAGTCTTAACACAAGAGTTGTGCAATACATGAGCTTGAGGAGTTCAAAGTTACTTATTGATAAGGTTTTAATCGACTTGAATTTTACCCTGAGCTAGAAATTTAAGTTGAAATGAGAGCTACATAGTCTCACTCAGCTTCCAGTTAAATTTCTTTCAATATCGGAATGCAGCCAGTGGAGGGAACGGTAACCTATCTTATGTGAAGACCTTGATTCAAGTTCTGGAAAGTGTAACAACAGGCAACCAACCAAATGATTGTTCATCGCACTTCCCTGATTATAGATGACTATGCGTTCCTCGCTCTAATTTTATGATATACAGGGTGTCCATAAAATCCTTTTATAGTTTCAATTGTGTTATGAAGTCAGATCTTAATTTATCCTAACCAGGTTTGTTGTTTTTTAATTGGTTTTGGTATTTTTTCTTCATTTAATACATCTGTGACTGCCAAAACAATATATTATGCGCACCAAGATGTCTCATAACCTGAACCCTAACCTAGTACACAACCTGAGTTCAGGTTGTGCGCCATCTTGGTGTGCATACTTCAGGAGGTCCGATATTTCTCCTCTACAATTTTAAGACTTAATGGACACACTATATTGTACATATTCAGAATAGTTGATTGTACGATCTTGGACATCTCTAGCAATCCACAATAACTTCATGTTCACTTGTAGTTTATGTTCATTTCCACTATGATAAATTCCGATTTGAAAACTGGTAGCAAGGAAAATTATGGCCTTTCATTCAACAAGACGTTTGCAGATAGGTCACCATTTCATTAAATGGGCGACCCTATTCTGGTGCATCAGCATGAAACCCCAAACACAAGTGTAGCACCAGCAAATATAGTCAACAACACATTTCAATTCAAAGTGTTTAATAAAACTAATAGACACAGATATACCGTATGATTGACTGACAGCAGTAAAAGTATCAGATCTGAAAAAAGCATTATTGCCCAATATAATCAAATATAATGAGTTGTTTAAATTTTAATGGCTGTTTATTAAATATATTGGGAGTAATTTCATTCAACATTGTAAATAAATCATTCCAAAAATTGCCAACATTTGACAGTTCAAGCAGTACAATAAGTAGGGACAGAGCATTAAGTAATTATCTAGTTAAGGCCTGACCTCCGACCTTTTTGTGAAAAATGGATGTCAAACAAAAGGCATTTGCAGTTATGTTATGGCCAAATATGAGCCTTGGCAGGCCTTTAGGTGATGTTTTTAAGACTACAAACTGAACCTACAAAAATCAGCAACTAATTTTTGGCAATGGTCATGGACACAAAATTTTCAATGCATATAAATCTTAGGCAATGAATTTTACAAAACTATTGCAAAGAAAAAGTTTAAACTATTCTATTTCATGCAACAATAAAGGGTGCTCCAGAAGTATGTGCACCGAAGATGGCGCACCCTAACCTGGTACACATAAAATGTTCAAGTTGTGCGCCATCTCGGTGCACATAATAAGCCTGGGAATGCTGATGGTTTCAGAGGGGATAATAATGGACTTGGAATCAAAGTTTTTGCCAACTAGGAGCCAGATTAATTCATGAAATGGGCAAAAAATTTGGAGTCTGGTTATTAAAATCTCACAAGTCTACACCAACCCTGGAATCGGGTATGTATGGACGCCAAGTTTTCGATTTCGACAACGCGATTTCACAGCAGACGGCGCTCAGCTAGAATATATGAATAAATAAAGAATATAGTATTATAGTACCCTACATGAGATGGTGTTCATGGGTTTGAATCTGCAATACCACCATAGTTAAATACAACACTCCAAACACTGGCCAGGATTTCTCAAAACTGGGCTCTTGAGTGGGTCTTTGAGGACAACGAGCAAAGACATTCACTTGTGAATTGGTACCATTCGAAATGACTACATTAATTTTAAGTAAAATGACTTCGATTCATGCATTTGTTCTTTGGCTTTCGTTTGTTGAAAACACATAAAAGCACAGCCAGATATTGTTATAGAAGAGCAGAGACCAAGTTTTCAAGCTGCAGTGTTTAATAAGTTTAAGGTCACAGATCGTGAAAGTTTGAAAACGTCTGTGCTAGGCTTTCACGCACATGACAAATCTTGTCTAAAATGTTGTTGATAGGTTCTTTCATAATATAAATTAAGCAGACTCATAAAATACCAAATACATTTTTCCGTAATATGATTATTAGACCATAGTTTGTTGGCTGAATAAGTCTGCAGTAATACTACTGAGAAACATAGGAATGCTATTCTGATGGTGTAAATGTAGCTTGATTAAATTGTCCAATGATGTTGAAAAGTTTGTTTCCAAGAGATGCATCACCCCCGAAGAATCAGACTTGAACAAGAGATGATCTTCTTCATTTTCTGCGTACATTGATACCAACTTGTACTGATTGTCAGCAGTAGAATCAATTCTGAAGCCTAAAATAATAATATTGCATAAGACATTCATTTTGAAATATGTGGGGCCGCTGAGCACTAATGTGTCGCAAGATTTATTGATTGTGTCGCGGAATATCAACGCATTCCATCAAAAATTACAGAGACTAAATTCGTCGATGCTTACCAATCGCAAAGCCTTCAACTAGCGACACCAACATAGTAAGATAAAATGCTCCAAACACTCAGGCAGACCCTATAAGTCGGGTCTGTCTGCAGGACTCATTGCCTCACAGAAGATTAAAAAACCCCAAAAGTCGGGTCTGTCTGCAGGACTCATTGCCTCACAGAAGATTAAAAAACCCTAAAAGTCGGGTCAGTCTGCAGGACTCATTGCCTCACAGAAGATTAAAAGACAAGAATAAACTTACCAGTCAATGTATAACAAGCTTGTCGAAATTCAAAAATTCTTTTACTAAAAACTTCTTTCAGTCTTTGATTCTTCAATTCAGAAGCCGCCAACTTTTCTTGAAAATCTTTTCCTTGCGTCACATCAATATTCGTCGTTGTTACATCCTGATTCGACTCCAGTTTGTGAATCTTCTCTTCAAGTTTTAGACATTTTGCTCTTAATTTTGAAACTTCTAATGCACTCTGTTTATGTGCCATATCAGCTGGATTCATCTTAAGATGGAATACTTTCACTTTTGATGGATCATAATCCCCTCGCATTTTATTTTGTTCTGCCCATAATTCTAAATGTTCTTTTTCTTTTTGTAAACGAGAACGCTCTTTCTCTAAATCTTCGACTTTTTGACGCAAATTTTCCATTTCTTTTTCACCTGCTTTTGAACCACTGCCTTCTTCTAATTTCCGTTCTAATTGCTTTATATTGTTCTCCATTTCTTTTATCGTAACTTTTAAATGAGAAGCAAGTGTAGCGTTGTTCAGTGCTTCTTTTTCCACATCAACAAGTCGAGTGTGAACTTTTTGATTCGCAGTCTCAGCATTTTGTGCTCGTAAAATAAGTTGATCGGTGTGTGCGGTTGTTGATAACTCAGAATCATACGATTGTAAAATTGAACGTAAGCTGTTTCGCTCACCAGTGAGAAGCAATGCTCGTTTCTGAAGATGTCTTATTTGTGTATCTTTTGTGCGATTGGCTTCATTTTTTTCCTCGATAGTTTTTTCTAGATTTGAAATATTGTTCTGCATTCCTTCACATTTTATTCGACATGTCAGCAATTCTGCATGTATTTGTCCCTTATCGCATGCTGCCACAGCTTCTTTTTGTTGCAATTTCTTCACCTCAGCAAGTAAATCCGTTACAGGTAAAATTTCTTTCTTTTTTGCTTCATTTAATTGTGCAATTAGATCTTTATTTTCGAGCTCAGTTAGAGCTGCTTTTTCGATGAGTTTTTCATTGTGAGATAGTTTTGTTTCAGCAGATAATAATTTTTCTTTCATGAGAAGTACATTTGTCTCGTTTTCTTTATAAATTTCATTCCTTTCTCTTAATTTAACGACTTCAATTTCAAGTATTCTTAAGCGTTCAAGATCGTCTTTCAATATTTTCGCCATTTGTTCCGCTTCACTGGATCGTGAGAGTCGCAACTCGAGATCCTGTATTTTCAGTTGATATTCTCGTAACTTCGGTTCATTGTTCCCAGATTCTTTTAAATCTTCAGTCAATTTTTGAACCCTGCTTGTTTTATGGTTCAACAGAGCAGCAGTTTCTTCTAATTTTTCTCGCAAAGCATTATTCTGCATGGATAAATGAGTGTTACGCTGTTTTAGCTCATCGTTAGAATTCCGTAAATGGTCAATGTTTAGTTGTAAATCTCGTTCTGAAGCTTCCTTATCTTTTTGTGACTCTATAAGCATTTCTTCCAGACTTTCTTTATCTCTCATGCGCGAATTCCGTAATTCTTGAAACTTGTCTTGTGCGGTAATCGCTTGCATTGTAACTTGTTTGACTTTGAGTTGCAACCCATCGCATTTTTCTTTTAAAAGTCTGTTTTCAGAAATCAGCTTTTCATTGCGACTTTCGAGATCAAGTCGGGCAATTTTATGTGCTCGTTCATCCGAGACATGACGACTCTCCATTTCCGCAAATTTCGCTCGATTTAAAGCCTCAGAAGATGATGAAAATGATCGTTTTCCGTATGAATGCGTCTCCCCCTCAGTAATCATATTAAAAGGAATTCCTCTACGTTGTTGATCTGCTGATCTTACGAACTGGTGGAAATCATCCATTATTCTGACAACTCTTGTATTGTCAGGAGTTATTGGTTCGTCCATTGCGCTCAAAATATTTTATTTTGTAATTTGGACAAAAAGATATTTCTGTAGAAATATGCACATGAAATACATTTAAATATAAGTCATGATGAATTTTGATTAAGATATTGTTTGAACTATAAGAATCAAATGAAATATAATTCAAGTACTATAAATAGGAAGATTAAAATTAAATGAATGCACCATATAAATTAAAAAAGGGTTTAAAATTTTCCCAAAATATATTCCAACCACAAAGTTATATCTAATAACTCTCAAGTAGGTTGGTAGCAGTATTCTCAGTGTCTCGAAAATATCACCTCCAACGAGCACCGTAAAAGTGGGAGACGGTATTTTACAGACCCCTTTATTTATATCTAATAATTCAGTATTCTGTTTTAGGATCTTATCATAAATATTCTGCATGAATATGTCCGAAGGTAATACCACCTACCGGTATGTATGTATGTATGTATGTTTATTCGTCTCGTAAAAGCAGAAACACAGGAGTTAGTAAATATCAACATTGAAGACGGAATGTATACACAAGACCACACTGGCCTAAAACACATGAACGTGCGGCATACACCCCTTATGCTAAGCCTAAAATGCAATAAATCGAATAAGTATAATATGGTCCTTCATACAGACAGTTGTGCGAGGAGGGTGGATTAGGCAACATGGGTAAGGGTGGAGTATGCCCAACTGTTTGTACAAAGGAGTTGGTAGGACAAGACAACATCAATAAATTGAGACAATACAACATGGAATATAATACATAATATATATACATAAGAATAAAATTTGGACATGTAGCACACTCGAGAAAAGATACCACATACTATAAATGGGAGAAATAGTCAAGTTTATAGGAGTATGTGCATATATGGTATGTATCACTCAAGGGTGAGTGTCTTAAGTAATAAATGGCTAATCTAACAAAAATGCGTTCTTTCCAGGCTTGGGGAAATGCAATGTAATAAGTTCTGTCAAGTTATTTGCTTTTTCAAAGTACTTTGTATTTTATAGTTCTGAATACCGCTAAAAAAGATCAGAATTCAAAAAAAGGATGATATGTTAAAATTAATGACTCAAAAACCTCAAACATGGCTTATAATTGTAAACTGGTCTGGGGACTTTGCAGACAAAACGTTACAGAAAAGAACTCCTGAAAGTAAGATGTACCACCAAATATAACAAATCATAACTTTTTCTTCTAGTTTTCAATGTAAGAATGGCATATCCTCAAAAAAATAACAGTGCATGATTACTAACTGTGATTATTCAAATTCCAAACAGTTTTTAAAATAGCAATACTGTGATTACAAATCTGTGTCCAAATAACAAAGATGAAAAATGGTTCATTGAGATAGACTACTTGGTGTCATATGGCTAATACATACATTATAACGAGGCTAGGAATTTTTATGTACCTTGTTTGGTGAGGGAGAAAGTAATATGGATGACTGGGTAAAATGCGGTAATTAACCCTTTCCATGTGTTTTTATTTATTATTAAATAATCGTATTTGCTACGCCGATTTTATGCATTTGTACCCCCACATCTAATCGATCGACTAACGAATGCCTAATGATCCTCTGCTGCCCACTGACGGCTCGTTGGAAAGTTTATTTAAACTTAACGTCGCTTATGTTAAAAATCTCGAAGAAGACTTCTTTTCAATAAACTAAAACCCAGTAAAAACTAGACCAACAGTTTGCGACTTAACTTAAAGTACCCACCGCGATCTAGCGAGTTTTGTCGTTGGTACGTACGTTGGTTGGTAAGGGTTAATCAAGTATGAAAATATTGTATTCCGTATGCGAGTTCTCCAAAACAAGCTTATAGAAGGACACTGTGTACAAAGCAGAGAATGAATAAAAAAAAATTTATTTTGACATGAATGTTCTAATCAATTCTTCAGCTTGCTTGCATCCTTTCATATTGAGCGCCTTTCCCTGTATTTTGCCAGCATTCATTGCACCTTTTCCTTGAATTGCATCGCTAATATTTTTGCCACACTCTTCTAAAAATTTATCTGGGCCTGAAAGTAAGAATAAGCCTTCCCCTTTCTCATCACCAACTGTGAGAAATAAGTAACATTCAATCCCTTTTAGTTCATTTGCAACGATGTTCATATATTCATTATTTCCTTCTTTGCGATGAAGACGCAAGTATCTGTTTTCTGATACAGATAACTTGAAAGATTTTGCTTCAAATGAAGCGACTTCTCGGAGAAGAATTTTGGCTTCTTTTTGAGTTTGTTTTAATTGCTTTACACTTCTTTCGACGGCCTCGACATGTTCAATCGGTCCACATTTTAATATTTTTGTTAAAGATTTTTCGTCTGCATATTTTTTAGCAACAAAATCGAGTACACGATTCCCGACGAGAAAATAAAGATTGCATTTACCTTTTTTGCCTTTCTCCACGCTAAGGAGTTTTACACACTGCAAATCTGAGAGATTTTTCACATGAGTCCCACAACACATATTGGCATCGATTCCATTTATATCGATAATTCTAACAGACCCGACATGATCTTCCGGGAGACCTCGAGCTCGGACATTTTTGAGCAAAGTCGATCCAACTTCTGTTACATGAACAGTAACTGGAGTAGAATCTCTGATTTTCTGATTGCACTCGTCTTCAACCTCTTGCATTTGAGCTATCGTTAAACTCAAAGTATCCAGTTCAATAAATGATACGTTCCTTCCTAAATCCCATGAAGTTGTCTGATGTCCGAATTTTTTGTCAACGATTGCGGTAATCAAATGTTGACCAGTATGTTGCTGCATGTGATCGAATCTACGTTCCCAATCAACTTTTAATTTTACTTCCTGGCCTTCTTCAAGTTTAGACGGAACAAAATGAACAGCATCGCCCCCTCTTCTCGTCACCCTAAGAACTGGAACTTCATCTATAGTTCCCCTATCATCAGGTTGGCCCCCTCCTTCAGGAAATAAAATAGTGTCGTCTAAAATAACTTCATAACCTTCAGTCATTTGTTCTTTTCCGCCAGATATTGACACTTTGCATTTTGCAGGAGTGACTGTCTGCACAACAGCAGTGTGCAGCGTTGTGTAACTATCATTTTGGCACATGAACGGCATGATTAAAATAGTTTTAATAAATTACACAAAAATCACCAAGCAAATGCTGTTAAGAGTAAATTTTGAATTAAATATACAGAAATAAGTTACATGCAAAACCGCTCACAATCCAACCTGAAGTTTGATCACAGTGTGAACAAAATGATCAGGAGCCTCAATGACCTGCGGTGGTCTTGCATACTGCAGTAGGTACGTAGTAGTATATATTCACGGCAGTACTGACCTATACAATTCGAAGTTTAAATTGTTCACTGAACTGTATTTAATGAATTTGTGCAATATAGGACGGAGACCGCCGTCGGGTGCGGACGTGGTATTACACGGTGGAGTACTGGAGTAAAAAATATTTGGACTAAAACTTGGAAAACCGGACAAACAGGATTGAATACAGACTAGCTTTTATACATTGGAGCAGCTTTGATAAGAATTGCGTTGATCACTTGTAACAAGTGATTGAATCTAAGGGACTTCGAGGAAACAGAAATAATCGACTTAGCTGCCGACACTGGATTGGTCAGTAAATTCATGCCAGAGAAACAATTCATAGGAACAATCGATGTTCAACACAATAAGATGGAAGCTCCGGAATGTTGGACGTTGCAAAGAATAAAAACATTTGCTCCAATTTCTACGAATTCGAACCAAAGCAACGCCCGAAACTAGTTTTCGTGTTTTTATGTTTGTTGTTTACTTTTTAGTTTTGTTTGTTTACAAAAAAACAGCAGCTAATCAATTAATTGTTATTATTGGTATTCGCATTCCGGCACAGGCACCGTCACATAACTTCTAAATGTTTTTGTATTCTTCACGACTTTCACTCATCAAAATTATTTACAACATTACAAGTAAGCTCTGCCCGTGAAATTTATTTTCTCGTGATCATGTACTCTGTTCATTAATTTATTCTAGTATGATTGTCTTGGTGTGTTTCACGTGTGTGAATGGGCACAATCGCTGGTTACAGCGTTCATTATAAACCTTTATATAGGTTTTGCCCGTTTTCCCGATCTTTCAGTTGACCTTGTTCTGTGTTCTTTTTATTTGTGTTGTAGACGAAAGATCGAAATAAAATTGTATCGTATTGTATATTTCAACATTGTTTCGTGGAAATAAATCTCCCTCTCTCAGCACCGAGTTAAGGTACGGGGACTCTTTAAAACGTCAAGAGTTGCCGCGCTGAAACTATATCTACATATCGAACTATCTTGCACCGTGTTCAGTCGATGCCTACAGGCAAGTGCAGTTTCAAGTATTCTGTGGCGTCTGCAGCTGCCGCAAAACCATCGCGGTATTTCCATACCATGACCGCTACGGCAAAACCTATGGCGACTGACTTTTTAGCTGCCACAAATCAATGACGAGCTGTCGTTACCACGGCAGCAAATTAAAAACCAATGGCAGGTAAAATTTTGCTGTCGTAACCACGGCAGGTGGTGGTAAAGACAGGGCTGTTCCTTATGGTGACAAATATTGGGTAAGTTGGAACGTTTTTCTTATGGATACAGTTTTGATGGATTTGGGGTTAGGGTTGGGGTTTAAGTAGATATATAATTCCACATGATTAATTAAAATCTGGTTCATTAATATGTGAATATACTGTAAATACTGATTACTGAATACTGAATAGCGCTATAAAACCATAGCAAGAGCTGCCGCGGTTCGTTCGTGGCAGGAGCTGCCATGAAGTGGTAAGAACTGCGCCTCGCCTACAGGGGTGGTGATTTCTCTACAGCCCATGGGCCGCGGCCCATTGGTGTTGGGCCATGGCCAGTGTGACGTAATTTTTTTAGACGTTGTCAGGTGGAGGTTAGGAATAACGTATGAAAAAATTGAGCCTGGCCAACTAGAAGTACATGTGGTACTAAACTATACCAGACCCTATGTTTACTTGTACTCAATTTAAGTATTTTCACATAGTACAGTAGAACTTCTCTACGGCCCATCGCCAATGGACCGCGGCCCGATTAGATGGACCGTGGCCCCGGCCCGTAGAGGAGCCACCAGTTCCATCAGTTTGCTGATGTCCACTGACTACGATTTTGAAATAGTCAATGCAATGACAATAAAGTATACAACCAATGTCATAATTGGAGATGTACCGATATATCGGTATCGGCAATATCGGCCTAATTTTCGGTATCGGTAGTGTATCGGTATCGGCAGAATTTAGACCGATATTTCCGATATATTTACCTTTTCAATATGATCGAGAATGTTTTAAAAAACAAGTTAGAACATTGATATTAAAATTATTTTTTTTATTTTTTTCCTAAATAGATCGTGAACTATGAGCCATGTACGTCCCCACCCCTGCGAGTGGAAACGGGAATAGAATTTTGACTTATTTTCAGCTATGTAGCAGCCAAACTAGCTCAACTAATTTTGATATTTTGGAACTTGGTAATTATGAAGAAATATATCAATTGAATATTAGTGAATTTTGCGATGTGTAAACGACAAAATATGTCGTTATATTGGAACAAAATACTGCGCAAGAAACAATGTATCAATTTGATAGTATATCTAAACCCTCATTTATTTTACCATCCACGGTAGTCAAAACGTATGAGTTTTCAAATTTAACACCAATATTACTAGCGTCAGTACATCTAAATCAATGGTTCTCAACTTTTTACTGACTGCGTACCACTTTTGTGTTTTTTACTTAGGCCGCGTACCACAAAACGCCCATTTGGGGGTGGAGAACAATGGCACAAAAAACGCGCTGCTGTGGGGTATTTTATGTGACTCCACATTAATTTTTAGACGTCTGCGCAAAGTTTCAACGTATTAATCATATGCAGTAACAACGTATTAATTGCGTGGTCAGAACTGAAAATGTCTAATAATCGTCCCGTTTCGTTTTAGGTGAGCAGTAGCGGGCGAGGCGATCTTAAGACAATTACTGGTCGCGCAATAAACCCGTTCAGCGAATACATACAGAATGGACCTAATAGAACATTGAGCGTTGTTGTCATATTTCAGCTAACTCATACGTTAATTATTGCAATGATTCAAAGGTGCTCGCGTTCCACTTGAAAAGCTTTCGCGTACGACTAGTACACGTACAACAGGCTGATAACCACTGATCTAAATCAATTTATGCATCTGGATTCCAAATATCAGTCACTTAACCCTTTCCGTGCGGTGGGCACGTATAGGTACCCACGACAAAACTCGCTAGATTGCGGCGGGTACGTTGATGTACTCCACTGTTTTATTTAGCAATCGGTCGCAAACTGTTGGTCTAGTTTTTCCGGGTTTTAGTTTATTGATAAGAAGTCTTCTTCGAGATTAACATAAGCGACGGTAAATCTCGCTTTCGTTTACCATGGGAATTTTATTTGCGGCGGAAAGAGGGAGTGTTTTTGAAATTTATGCAAATTTCGGTGTTTTTTGGGTGGTAATAGAAGACATATTATCCCTTCCATCTACCAAAGTATTTTGAGTTAGATAACGAAATTGCTACAGCAATATTATGCTATTGTTTGCCAACCAAGAAGCGGTAACAGTAAAGGATTTAGCAAATATTTCTATTTTTATCACGGTTTGAAGTTTCAACACCCAAGAAGAAAAAAATGCCCTTTTTCTATCCGGTTTGTGACTCAGACCACCCCTTTTGGAAAAAAAAATTTTCAATGCCAATTGCAAGCTCTTTAAATAATCTTTCCAACGACCGGTCAGTGGGCAGCAGAGGATCATTACTTTTTCGTTAGTCGATCGATTAGTTGTGGGGGTACAAATGCATAAAGTCGGCGTAGCAAATACGATTATTTAATAAAAAATAAAAATCGCATGGAAAGGGTTAATATGTGATATATCTCTTTTTCAATCTGAAGTGATTTGCACTATGAATAATGCTCAAAAACAATTGTTTTAACCCGTCTGCTCTGTACATTTGAAGTGATAATTACATAGTATTGGTATCGGAGTATCTGCTATTTTTGAATATCGGCGTATCGGTATCGGCGTTTTCAGTTGGTATCGAAACGGTATCGGTATCGGCGAAAAAAGTGGTATCGGTACATCTCTATTCATAATTGTTCCGTCGTCATAATTTTTCCGTTTTGTTTCGAACTTATAACCCTGGATACTTGTATGTTTTAACATTCTTTTGCTTATTTGCTTATATATAATTTAAATATACTAATGATTTAAAATTACCCTCTCTTTAATTTGAAGTATTTAAAAAAATGATACAATATGTTATTTAGCGACGATGGTGGATGTTTTCCCGACCATTGACCCCGAACAAAAATTCTATTGGAAAATTTTTAATACTCATTTTGAAAGTGTTTTGAAGAGTTTATAAACAGGTTCTCATGTTTAAAAACATCATTTTCATTGGAAAGATTTACCCACGTCCCGTTAACAGTCTATCGCAGCGTTCACGGTATGTATCAAAATGAACGATTTTGAGTTCAGTTTTGAGGGGTCAAAGGTTGGGTTGATTGGGGCACGTAAAAATAATGAAAAACGTTTGACAGATTAGTGGTATTATTAATACAAAATCGAACTTATGGGAAATTAAAATAATTTAAATGGTAATTTTATTCTATATATATTCTCTTGTATTTGCAAAATTTATCAAAATATAACCAGAATATTGCACAACCGCATGTGGGCGCCAAAATTTTAACGTGAGTTGCCGAATTTTCCTGGTTCAGCCTTTTCGACAAAAACTTCATCATGGGTCGTATGCACGCACCGGGAAAGGGTATTTCTGCCTCCGCCCTGCCTTATAGAAGGAGTGTTCCGACATGGTTGAAGCTTAGTAGCGATGATGTGAAGGAGCAAATTTTTAAATTGGCGAAGAAAGGCCTCAGACCTTCACAGATTGGTGTTATATTGAGGGACTCTCATGGTGTCGCACAGGTCCGCTTTGTGACTGGAAACCAGATTTTGAGAATCTTGAAAGCAAAAGGTATCTAGTTTTATTTTTGAACTAAAGGTTTTCAGCTTTCGATTATGAGGCATTGCTGGTCATTATTATATTATGACATCACCAACATTTAATTACAAAAACCAAATTAAAAAACTATTACAGTATTATTAATAATTGTAAAAGCTAAACTAAGCTCTTAATAATTGTCCCGTTTTCCTGGACCTGCCATTAACATCACGACTTGCAGTATTAACTTCAGAAATAATATTACTGACTTCCACATTCATTTTAAGTCTGTTTTATCCGTTTTTCATGATGCTTAATCTGAATAATAACTCATATATAGCATACACGAATGGGCCAGGAGCCTTTGTGACCTAACCTGTCCTGCAACTTAACTGACCCTTACAAATGATGATCAAACATATAATATTGAACTATTTTTTGTTTTTTTAAATGTATTGCAGTGTTGACTATGTTTGTGGTAATAAATCTCTCACTCTCTCTCAACATTAAACGTCTGGGATTAATTCCCTGAGATTTTGGATCTATTCCAAGTTGATTACGATTTGATTTCAACCTAACCCTATAAGCCTAATATGCACCACTGGCATGCTACAGTGTTAAGACTATTTCGATCATCTAGGCGTCATTTATTGCTGTTTTTCATTAGTGACAGAGTCTGTGACATCGAAAAAATTTCACTGCCGGTTTTCTTATTTGTAGTGTTAAAAATACAAGCCTAATTATATACAAATATAGCGAGCTGAATACTGTCGATTGTCACATTCCACATAATCATCACAGGATTCAAGCACAATGGCCAGAATGTTAACTCAACATATTAGTGTCACAAGTTGACAGAAATCAAATATTCTTAAAATCTTTATCAGTATCACAAATCAATCAGTTCATGTGACAATACTTCGAGTTCAGACAAATGTGACTCTAATTTGAAATTTGACTCATACTTGATAGGAGATATGGATTCCTAACACTTTAGTTTACTATCTGCTCTCAACACTGCTTATACTGTTTACCTCTATTTTTAGGTCTTGCTCCCGATTTGCCAGAAGATTTATACTATCTGATCAAGAAAGCCGTTGCGATGCGCAAGCACTTAGAAAGGAATCGCAAAGACACAGATTCAAAATTCCGTTTGATTTTGGTCGAGAGCAGAATCCATCGTCTCGCTCGATACTACAAATCAAGAGCTGTTCTTCCACCAAATTGGAAATATGAGAGTTCAACAGCTTCTGCTCTTGTTGCTTAAATTTTCAATGAAAAATCTCATCTTTATGGTTTTAATAATATAAAGAAGAGTGCACATTGTTTTCTATGTTTGAGCAGGGGTTTGGAGCATTCAGAACGCAGAAAATCAGTGTTGGTTGGAGGTTTGACATAGGAGGGTATTTGCATATACTAATAATGAAAATTAGTATTTTGTTATCGGAAAATCCTTTGGTGTTCTAGTTAATGTTGGCTTCTACGATTAATCTTGGGTGAAAGATGATGAATGGAAGGGTTTAGTCATATTTCTTGATTGCTGTGACTTCTAAGATGATGTACCTACATACACCGATATCGTAAATAGGAGTGTTTTGGGAATTAATAGAGACTCTTCTAATGCACAGGAAACAAATAGGTTTTGGTGGTTTATGCGGTATAGGCCTTGTTCTGACCGATTGTTTTTGCTACAACAGAATATGGAAATTCAATATGGTGTTCTTGGTTAGTGAACCACGATCCAAGGGCGTCCTTATTACACCTATTGTAATTAAATCTATCATTTTCCTTTCAAACTCTATTAGTATTTAATCATGTAAAAGATGGATGCCACAGGTCTGATCATGAGAAGAGAACCAGCTTAATCCTATCCTACATCAGACTTTGTCAGATTCACTAGTTAGGTAAGGGCATAATTAACAAATAAGTGCTTCCATAATTCATGAATAAAAATAAACAGACAACAGACATAATGTGGCTTGAGTCTTGACAATGTTCTCGCATGTAGTCAGTGTTGGGATTCAATTTTTTTGTCAGCCTGTTCCTTCACAAAAGTCAATTTTTTCAGCCGGTTCTGCTAGAAAAAGTCATATTATTTTTAGCAAATAAACCGATTAATAACCGGTTCGCTGATCTCATAAAATTCCCTAAGACGGTTCTATAGAACCGGTGCGAACAGCTTGAATCCCACCCCTGTATGTAGTAACCTGCGTGGTTTCACATCATGTACTCACACAGTAAATCAGCAGTATGATTGAAAGCGTATTCATTAGCTTGCCAAGATGCACAGACTCATCCAAACTTGCAACTTATGCTGATTGTATTTCAATGCTTCGCTGGATAGCCATTCACTCAGTGCTTGAGGCATCACACTCTGCTATTTCACTATATACTACCCCAACATTACTCTACAGATAATTTTTTAACATTATATTATCCATGGGTTTGTGTCATAGTATTCTCCTAAGCATACCCATATTATAGCATGTAGGTCTTGAAATTTACTCCATAGTAAATTTTAATCAGAGGTATCACCCTTTAAAAATTAGACAGGCTCCAACAAAAAAGGAGACAAATGCATGGTTTTTTATTACTATTTCCAATAGAGGGACATCTCGGTGAACGAGAGGAGAAGTAGCACATTTTATGCCTAGATATTAAAATAATATTAGAAAATACTTCAAGTCAGAAGATTTCCAAAACCAAAGTGGTTCAGATGCGCAGACATCAATATCTACATGCCTATAAATCTCAGAATTAACCTACTTTCCCAGAAGCTGACACATTATCATGTTGTTATTACAGATTTACTGCCTGCTATTCAGCTCCAACTTCAACCCAAATTGTGTTGAATGCTATTTTACTAGTTTAAGAGCTCAGTGTATGTTGTAAATTGCATTTGGAAACTATGGATGTTTAAAAATTCAAACACGACAAATTATAAACCAATCCTCGTTTGCTTTTGAATAAGAATCTGGCGCTGTGCTGCAATTTCAAATAGAAAGAGGAACAAAATATAATATCGTCCACGCAAATTATTTTCATAGGTTTATTTCTTTTTCCCGCTAGTTGTGCTCGGTCGTGATGTTGATTTCTTTGAATCTCCGTCAGCTTTTTCATCTTTCTTTTCCGATTTCGAATCGTCAGCTTTTTTCGGTTTCCTGTCATTCTTCTCGGCATCGCTTGTCGATATTTTGTTGTTGATTAGATTATGAAGAGCGATCACGGCCCGGATTAGAGATGCCAGATAAACAACTAACATTTGATCATTTGTCTGCGAAAATGAAAGAGCAAAGTTTAACTAGAATAAGATTCTTAGATAGATAGAAAATGATTTATTTCCAAATATTTCATTGAAGTACATATTGCAGTAAAAAATAAACAATGATCATAAAATAGAATTGGAATGAGGCGGGCAAAACTAACTTCAATGTTGACCAACCCCCAAGGAAAGTTCCATTAGGACAAGGCACTCCAGAGATATCTCGATAAGAAAGACTGTAATCAGCACTGGATAGCTGTGATGTTTATTGGAGCTGGAGCCAGGCCTACCATAATTATTTTTTCACATTTATAATTTTTCATTACTTAGTACAAACAATCTCATCCTTCTCAACTTATAACTTTTTTGAATTTAATTTCAAGTGTGAACCACGCTTTTGCAAACTTTTCTCACAAAATCAATCTCCACATGATTTAAACCTGCGAACACCCATGTTTTTTTAATAAGGTTAATTGAGCTTAACCCTAATTAATAATAACTCAACTCTAATCTATGTCAAGAAAATAAAGCTGAAAGCTTAGGACTTGGGATTTAATATTGATGACGTTTTCATATTAGAATTTTTCTAGTTTGTATTTTCTTTGTACAAACTCACCTTTAAGTAGAAAGCCTTGCTGAAGTCCAGTAGATTGACATCAGGTAGAAGGTTGAATATGTTTTGTAGTTCATAGATGATTGTGTGATTGATGGGAAGCTTACCTGGAACAATATTTTTAATTTATTAACTTTAAAAAGGTTAAATTGCCGATGAGTCACACAAATATATTTTTTTCTATTTTATTGATATTATATCCCAGGGTGGTCCAAACCCAGGCCCGCGAGCCACATGTGGCCAGCCGCTTCATTATCTGTGGCCCGCGTCGCATTCGGCGAGGAATCGAAAAATCGCATTTTGTGTTGTTTCGTCTGATTTAACCAAAAAATCTTTTGGCATATTGTTGCATCACTCATGTCACTGAAATGACTAGTGTTATGGCTTGCTGAGCCAATTAGCGAAGTTAAACGAGCGAAGTTCTTGGCACTATTGTGGCCTGCGAACAATGCAAAAGTAATTTTGTGGCCCGAAGAGCTGCCAATCTTGGATCACCCTGTTATATCCGATTGGTTACTTATATACAGCATGGGTTAAGAGCCTTGGTGACCTAACTGGTCTTGCATACTGACCCTCACAAATGATGATCAACCGATTATTGTTAAATTATATTTTTTTCTGTTGTTCGGAACGTAAATTAGTGTTGACATTGTTTGTGGTAATAAATTCTCTCTCTATCTCATGTCTTTGAGCATAAGGTATGCTACTTGTTGGGAGCATGAGGGCCTAGTGGACCCTGATGAGAGCAGGGTTTGCTAAGTGGGAAAGAATTCCTCCAGAGAGCAAATTTTACTTTTCATATTTGAGCCTAGTGTAACTAATATAAACTTATTCAGTATTACTGTAATGCATATTTATTTTAAAATACCAGTAATAAAAAAAAAATGCAGGCGGCATTTTGGGGTCGCGACCCATAGGTTGGGAAACACTGACATAGGCCACATCCCACTTACCATGTGCAACTTTTTCCAAATAATTCCTAATTTCCACCAGTTTTACGCTGAGGCCTTTCAATCCTTGAAGTTGGTTTGTGATTCGTTGGGACAATGAACCTACTGTGATGTTGTGGATATCCCTGGAATTAAAATTAATATTTCTTCAAAGATAAAGATAACTGCTACAGGAATGGTGACTCCTCTACGGCCCATGGGCCGTAAAAATAGGCCGCGGCCCATTGGTGTCGGGCCATGGCCCATGTGACATAATTTTTTGGTGACATTGTCAGGTGGGGGTTAGGAATGATGTATGCAAAAATTGAGCCAGGCCAACTAGAAGTACGTGTGGTACTAAACTATACCAGACCCAGAGTTTATACTTATACTAAATTTAAGTATTTTCACATAGTACAGTAGTACTCCTCTACGGCTCATCGCCAATGGGCCGTAGAGGAATCACCACTTCCACTCGATAACTGATACCCAGCTGGTAATCTGAGAAAATTTAAACCGAGCAGTATGGTAATAAGACTCTGCAATAAACGGGAGTTTCACTTGATAATTTTATCTTTTAGTTTGAGTTAAAAATTTATGAATCTGAAATATTTGGTCACTTGCAACTTCACGATTATTAATCATTGTTTCAAGATGATAACCTTCCTTTCTATGCAAACTTGGGCGCTCCATAAGTGTGTATACCAATATGGAGGTAACTAATTTTGTTCGCCTACTTTACATCAAGTTGTATAAAGGGAATGAAACCAATGGACAGGGGTATATCCACTTGGCTACATCCACAGACAGTCTCCAAACTTGTAATAGAACTAAAATAAGGAAAATCTGAATAAAATTATGCCTTAACCCTAACCTGGTACACATACTACGGGAGTACCCAAATTGTATATAACAGTCCTGCTGCACACTAACAAAAATGTGTTTCTGTAACGTTTCGTCTGACATCCTCAGACAAGCAGTTTACAAGAATGAGTTCAACAATTGGTCGTTGTTGTAAACTGTTTGTCTGAAGTAGTCTGATTTTGTTCAGACGAAAGATTACAGGAATACATATTTGTTAGTGTGCAGCAGGACTCTTGGATTGCATATTATGGTATTTTTATTCCTGCTGCAGCATCCTTGCATTATATGCATGGGATCCACTAGCGCAAAGGCATTGAGAAAGGATTGGGAGATAGTCTCGCGTAAACTCTATGAATGATGATTGTATATAACAAGTATGAAAATAAAACTTTTGGTTTAATATCAGGGAAAACAAAGCTCCCACCTCCAGGCACATTTCAATAAATAACAACGAGTATACAAAATAATAAAAAAGCAATAAGCATTCTTATTGGCGTTATGCTTGTACTGAAGATATAGTTAAAATGTTTATGCACAACCTTCTATGTTGACATCAAATGTTAGAAATATCAGTTCAATACTGGCTTTTTGTGTAGACCAGGGGTTTGCAAACTGCGGCCCGCGGGCCAAATTCGGACAACAAATAAAAATTTTGCGGCCCGTGGAGAAGTGCTAGTTTTGAATGGTGTGCGGCCCGCGAGACAAATTTTCAATTTAGTTTATCACGTGCAAGTAATTCCAATCCCTTTGCGTTGTAAAGCCTATTATACCTGAGCTTGGTGAAGCGAACAACGCATTTGATGACATCAACAAGTTAATCGATTTTTTGTACCTGCAACTAATAGAAAGCCTATGTTGAATAAAAGCGTGGCCTACGATTTCACCCAGTTATTTATATCTGGCCCTTCTGCATTGAAGGTTGCATACCCCTGGTGCAGACCATCAGTGTCACTAAAAACCGCCCAGAACCAGCACATACCTGAGTAAATGTTCAACTCCTACTTCTTCAGCTTCTTCAGCTCCGATCTCACTTGGGACATGCTCAAATGTACGTGAAGTGGGTGTGCCATCCTGTGAATAAATAAAAGCTAAATATGATTGAAGTATAAATCAATTTGAGGGCAATTGGAAGATTCGATTTTGACATCGCGCATTTATGATTCCAGGGCCAAGGTCTTACCTAGTGTTATACAATACTCCTTGCATATTAGTGAATGCTGGTCTTGTGTGGAAGAAAAGTGAAGAAATTGGAAGTACAATATGTATGACAACATATGGCAGTCTGCGACATGCGACAGACCGTTGCTGCTAGAGTCATCAAAGAAACTACCAAAAAGGCAGAGGATGTGAAAGAAACCAAGGCAGCGGGGAAGACCAATAATAAAACGAAAATAAGTGACTGGAAGCGTCTAGTGCCCATCAACAGTCCGAACCTAAAAATATATTTAAAGATGCTTTTATACATACATCATGAATCTCTTCAACAGAGATGTAAGCTTCAGTTGGAAGTCCAAGTTCTTTAGGTTTTGCGTCAATAACCACGAGTACTGCGTTAGAATTGTATCGTTTTATCAATTCATTAATTGCAATATCGTTAGGACATAGCTTTGGTCCTGTGTGATACCATCCTATGATTCTTTCGCGAGCTGAAAAGAAAGATTTAAAAGTATTTAATATATATTAATAATGTATAGTATGAGTTGTATACAGAGATAGCCAAGACCGGATAACTTACTATTCGGAATGTATATGCAACACATACATCAATGTATATACACCGCATATCTGATTACCCTGCGTAGGTTCACAAATTCAAACCCAAATATTTACAGGCTCTTGAAAACTTCAACTCGTCTAGCGATAATCAGAAAGTTAGGCCAGGCAAAGACGAGCTCATTGGCTTTGTATAATGGCTGTCAAAATTGTTTTTCAGGGCACAAAGAATCACGCCAATAAAGTGTTGCATATGATGTAGTATTAATATTGCATTTACCATTAACTTTCTTGAACATGCTGTACATTTGTTCCAAATAATCATGATCGAGAAACCAAACTTCTCTGTCTCTGACATCTTCATCAAATGGAACTAAAAATCAAAATAATGTTTGAAATTACATAAGTATAAATACAGGGGTTCTAAACCTTCTTTTTTTGTCTAACCCATGTACAATTTCGAAACTAAAATTTTCAAAAAGGGCTAGCTCTCTCCACAGCAAGAGCATAATACACATCAATTACGCAAGAGAATACTTTGTTATCTTCTATGTAATCAACAGCCACATTTGGCCATGTATTTTCAAACTTGCAATTATTTTCCGGCATGCGGATCAAATCAACCAGAAATGGTAAATCTATTCCCTGCTGAGATACCCATAGAGTTATTTTTTCAATGCATTCAAATATACCCTATATTCAAAAAGGAGTATAGCAATATATATCATATAAATGAAGATCTTGGTTGTTGATTTACCTGCTTGACTTCTGCCTCATTAAAAGAGAACACACGACAAAATAGGAATAGACTTACCAGCAAAACTATTAGAAACATCTAAAATTTTCTTCCCATCGATTGTTTTCCATTGACCAAGTAAAACCCCAACAACTCTGCTTTGACTTCCTACCTTTCCCATTCTATTGAAATGATCAACAACACTCAAAAGTACGAGTGGATGAACCACGACATGATCCATTGGAATCGCAGACATTTTGTTAAAATATTATGTCTAAGTAATTTTAAAAGCTGTAATTCAAAAATAATTTCATACTTATTTGCAATAAATATATTCGTATTTACTGATGCGTAAAGTACCACCATAATTCTATAGTTTCACTTTTAATAGCTCTTGGAATTTCAGTGCCTGCCTGTAACTTCTTTCAAGAATTCGTCTCCTTACAACAAAAATGAGTATGACTCTGCTTTGAGAAAATACCCGAAAAAAAAGTTAACCCATTTGGGAGAAAAGTAAGATAGATGGAACAATTTTATTTTACTTATTTCAAGTTGTCAGTCAGCTTTTGCTACTATTTTAATGAACAAAATATACCAAAATAATAAATAAATATTCTAAATAAATGCGATACATAATAATGAACTGAGCATTAGAAATAATTCTATATATGACAATCCATTGAAAAGAACATATCTTAAATTATAGTTTAGTCCAGGGGTGCACAACATGAAGCACGCGTGCCGAATATGGCACGACATACACTTGAACATAGAAAACGAACGATTTTGTAAAAACAAAAAAATATTCATGATATACATAAAAAAAATCATGTTTATATCGAAAGACACTTGAATGGTCATGTTTATCTACAAATTGCAAGGTAGTAGCTGAAAATAAATAGTTAGGCAAGCCTACAGTAGCGAGCAGTTAAGTACCAGTAGGTGAAACGTGATTTTCCACATATCGTTGATGGTGATAAGGTGTGTTTATGTCGTAATAATCTAAACCGGCATATTCATTCACACCAAAGAGACTACTGCATGACTCGAATATAATATATTCACTTTGCACTTCGAATACAAGAACGTCTTCAAATGAGCAGTCATTCAGATTTATGTACTATTATTCAAATTTGTTTGATGTGTGTTTTACGGGAGTTCGTTTACAATACCAACGATTGTGTGTGGCACACGACAAGATTATTTTGAAAAATATGGCACATATCCTCATTTGGGTTGTGCATCCCTGGTTTAGTCTATCATAGTTTCATTCGGATTCCTCTACTATTGAAAATCAATGAAAACTGATCAGCTAGAATTATTTCATTCTTTAGTATTTTTCTTATCGTGAAGAAGAGCAATTGATTAATATAAAGCAGATTGGCCTTATAAACATGAAAGAGTAAGGTGAATCATAATAAATGAAGTCTTATCTTTATTAAAAGCATAAACCATTATTTAACTGCACAAAAAATTCAAATTCATTGATTTTTGAATAAAGAGCAAAAATACTTTTGGTGAACTTGATTACGAAGTTCAGCTTGGAAAATTCTACTCAACATTCCTTTTAAAACATCAACAAAATCACAAAAATATTTTTATATTATCTAGAAATCCCAATCACACCCATACATTCATCTTATTATTTATTCCAACTCTGCCTGCTCACTACCTGGAAAACAAGGAACAATCTATTTCCGATGATCAAGTCAGTGGAACAAGATGCTATGATAAATTAGTACCTCTTTGACACCTCTTCACACTTTGGTAGTCGCTTCGAGATCAATTTCCATTATTTTCGGGTAAGTTCACTGTTTCAGAGTACTTCATTCAAAAGAAAAATTTGACCAATCAATAGATTCCTCCGTCCTTATCATCTAATGTATCTTCTTCCTCATCAAGATAAGATTCTCCGTTATCAAAGTATGAGGTTAAATAATCATTTCCTTCATCTTCATCAACCTCGTCAATTTCAAGTTCGACTTCTGACTCAGTATCGTTTGCGTCTCCTGCCTTTTGCGCTTCTGGATTTTGATCTTTTTTCTCAAGCTCATCGAGCTTTTTCTTCACCTCCTCTTCGTTAACAGACGCCGCTTTTTTCTTCTCGACTAATTTTGGTGCAATTTTTTTGCTTGCTTTACGTTTTCTTTTCATTTCAATTTTTAATTCTGCTGGGAATCGACTCCAATCTGGTTCCCATCCTAATTCGTTATCTGAATGATTGCTAATTCGATATTTATCTGAATATCTGTCTAAAAAGTTTTTTTCTTCTTGTTTTTTAATATAATATGGTGAATCCCGCATTGTCTTTTCAAAGTTTTTTTGCAAGGCAAGTAAATAGTCTTGATCTTCCCCTGTCAAAAGCGGTACAGGTCGCTTTTTCAATGGGGGATAATCAGGAGGTGGTTGAAGCAAAGACGTCGGCAACGCATCGCCTCTTCCAAATCCTATCGCTTCAATATTAAAGGAAAGACCCGATCCTCGCCCTCTTCCTCTACCTTTCGACATGTTTGAATAAAAATGTCGAATATACAATGAAAATTGACGAAAAACGACCTCGATAAAGCAAGCGCCAGATTCCAAATCAGCTCTTATTCATGAATCAGCACATTATTCATTTGCTTGTTCACGATTTTCACGCATGACTGGGATCGCCAAATTATTTTTTGGGATAAAGCGGTATGTTAGTCGTTGGGATAAAGCGAAAAAGGAGAAATAAAAGCAAATCAATAAATTAAGAAATTTCAATTTTTCAAGAAAAACAAAACAAACATGCCGATGTAAAAATTTTAATCCCGCGCATCAAATTTGCGGTATGTAGATTTGCTGCATGCATATTCAGAGATCGTGGAAAAATGCTTTAATTAGAATTTTTTTCTCTGTACAATCACAGAGAGAGGAATCCGATTAGACGATCTGATCATATGAAGAACCAACCACGACCTCTATTCCGGATCTGTTCAGGCACTGGACAAGCTAGTCACTTAATCGTCACAGATGCATATGCGTGTTATCGTAGGTTCGTAGTTGTACATTAACTTGTGACAAACATGCATTACTGCAATACGGTATTTGTCACAAGACTTTATATTTGTATGCGGACCGGACAAAGCAGTATGGCATCACACTGAGGTATATGGAATGGAGGCTATATATGAAGATATAGAGATATCGGAGGACGTCGACGAAGTGGCGATTACAGGAAATAGGTTATGTTATAGCGGAAATGATTGTGAGAATTTTCCACAACATTTATTGAGGTATACCCGCCTAGCTGTGTGCATCGACCTGAGCCATAATAAGCTCAAAAATATCAATGATTTATCGAAGTTCGTCCATCTGCAAGAGTTGAATTTAGATAACAATGAAATCGACGACGAAACCGATTTTCCGGAAATGAACACTTTACAGACACTTTCGTTAAATAAAAACCAACTAACTAATCTCGAAAAATTGGTGGCACAACTCAAACAAAAATGCAAGAACTTAACATACTTGAGTTTACTCGGAAACGCTGCCTGCAGACATCCATTACTAGGATATACTGATGAAGATTATGCGGAAGTGCGACGTTATATCGCAACATATTTACCGAAACTAGAAATCATAGACTGGCAAGCAGTAGCAGAGGTGGAAAGGGGAGATCATCCTTCTGCTTTAGAAGCAACTACCTTCGAAGAATTTGATGTTAAATTCACAACTGAAAACGAACAGCTTTCCCCACCAACACCTAGAGCAGCCGCAGGAAAAGTGCGTTATACTTATGTCGGAAAGCAATCCGAGGGCAACAGGTTTATCAGAAACAACAACCTTTAACAGATAAAAACGTCTCACAGGCTAAGAGTTCGAATAAAAAGGCGTTGAACCTTATATTTCACCAACATCAAATACTTTTTCGCGTGTTACCCTGATCAAATGCTCAATTTCAAGATGCTCAAATGCTATTTAAGCGCCCTGCAAATTTCCCTATATTTATTTCTGAAAGAATTTGATATCCATTGATTTCTGATAGCAGTGATTTTTTTTCCAACTACGACAGCAAGAATTTAGCAAAACGATTGAACATTGTGTCTCTGATCTACTCAACATTGTGCAATGGATAAAGCGCAAATGTCCTATCAGAGGCCGACAACATGTTTCTCATTTAAAGCGTGTTCCTATGTGTTATAATATTACAAATATTTTTTATGAAATTCATTTTATTTTAACAAGCAATACATTGTAATTTACAAAAAATGTTTGGTAACAATCAAGACAGGGCTGAAAGCATTTACAGTATATCAGGGCAGAGAAAGGGGTTATTTTCATGAGTTTACTTCGAACAAGACTATGCAAAAGAAGCTACCGATTATGATACAAGGGAGCTATATTTAAATAAGGACTGGGATCTTGCTATTCTGGCAAGGCCTTATTATAACCTCAGTGTACGGTAGGAATGGGGTTTCAACTTGACCATCACACCCATTCAAAGGTATTGGGAAACGGCAGAGTTATTCACTTCCTCTACCATAAGCATAGAACAGCATAAAGCATTATTTCATTAAGGGGGCTCCAGAAATGTGTGTACCAATATGGAGATGACTAATTTTGTTAGCCTACTTTACATCAAGTTATGTAAAGGGACTGAAACCTATGGGCAGGGGGTATATTACCGTGGCTAACAGACAGTCCGGAATAAAACTCAAACAAGGAAAATCGGAATAACATTATGGCCTAACCCTAACCTGGTACACACTACGGGAGTATCCATTTAGGACTACTACAAGATTTCTGTTGTGTGCAAGGCCCCAGCACATGAGCCGTTCAAAAGTACAATATTGGGCCCAAGTTTACATCTTCCTGAGAACAAAGCCCTGGACAAGGTGGTGTCTTAAAAAAGGCTGGGCGTAAGTTCGAATATGATCACTTAATTAATATCTTCTTGGTAGTAAACAGGGATGTCGGTTAAAAAAATTTCAAATGAAATATGCAAATAATTGTTTTCTTAAGTTATTTTCCATAGTGACAAATCAGATTTATATCAAATTCTATTCAGTTTACGCCATTACTGTTGCAGAATTTCAGAATACCAAAACCGTTTGGGACCTCTTGAAGTATGCGCACCAAGATGGCGCACAACCTGAACCCAGGTTGTGTACCAGGTTGGGGGTCAGGTTGTGCGACATCTTGGTGCGCATACTTCAGGAGTACCACCGTTTGAATATATAGGAACAAAAGCAGAATTTTTCACAAAAACTATCCGAATGACAATTGAATGAGTTCATAACTAAAATCAATGATATGTTTATGTTGAGATGGATGGGAATAGAGCTGGACAAGTATATGAAGTTGGATCCATAACAAACCAATGGCCCACACAAAAAGGTTTTTTAAAAAATACTAAACCAAACAGTAACGCATTAAGCTCGAGCGATGTGCGAAGTACTTATTCAAATGTTAATTTCTATTTTGAAATGGTATTTCAAAAATTTGAATAATTCATTAAAAACATTGATACAAAATTTGTCAATTTCGAAGATAAATAACAATTTTGAGTCAAATATTTTAACCCAATTTTGACATATAAAATTCTTGGTATCGAAGGACTTTGTTTTTGGTTTTTGAGAATTGAGATAACTGATCAAAACTATTAATTTCAAATTTTAGCTTTTGAAAAGAAATAAACTGGTTCAAATTCACGAAGAAAAACATACATCAAAATTTGCAACAAAATAAATCTAATTCCGAATTATTCAAATATCAACATTCCTATTAATCACTGGAGTCAGCGCCAGACGCTGCTTCTTGCTCAGACTCGTGTTGATTGTCCTCGGAAGCTCTGTTTTCCGATGAGTCATCAGACTGGTTATGTGCCGCTGCTTCGCTGTCTGACCCACTCGCTGCAATAGGGTAGGCTGCAGGTGATCCCTCTTCTTCACTAGATGATTGTAACAGCTTTTTGCCACCACTTGCACCTGGAATGTAAATAATTGGAATGAAGATAGACATTTTTTTATACTTATGGAGAGGAAAACTGATACGATGGGGTAACAATATGGCAAATCATGACTTCTAGTCTGGTTAATAAGAAAATAGTTAACAAGTTGATCTTTCAGTATACATAAACCTGAATGATGTCGAAACGACCTGTAAAACATGATTAGTCCAGCGATAGCAAAAGTCCAACAATGCTCTCACACAAAATCATCTCCCCCGAAGAAAATCAATCAGTCTCTAGTATAAACCTACACAATAACACAAGAGTGGTAGTACTATCAGCATAAGTGCATGCTACCTTTATTTGAAATAATTCTCACAAAAAAATTTCCAATTTATCAGATATAAATATATAAAATCCAATATGCAAATATTTTCACCTGGTGCATCGTTTGCCGGTGGGCCCTCTTCGCCACTGCTTGAAGATGTGTCTGAAATATATGCCCTTGACTTGACCTTCATCTTTTGTTTCATGGATAATTTATCCACAGGAGCTGGCTTTGATTTGGCTTGCTTTTTAGAAGTCTTCTTTCCTCTGTCATTGTCTGAATCACTGTCCCCACTCCCTGCTGGTTTGGATCCCCGCTCCCCTTTTGTTTTTAGTTTCTTTTTACGTTTTTTGGTGAGTGGCTCGGCCGTACCTTCAACGTGCATGATTCCAGCATCATCACTACTTCCGTCGTTAATGAAGTGGTCAGTCGCTTTGTTTCCGCTTTTTGATTTCTTTTTACGTTTGGGTTCCGAATCCAATTCCAAGGTCTGTGCAACTGATTTGCTTTTTTCTTTAATTTGCGCTCTTTTTCCATTAACGCTCTCATTTTTTCTTCCTGTGCTTTGATGCGCGACCGTTCCTCTTCAAGTTGTTTCTCTCTCAGCGAAGCGCGCTCTCTCTCCTGTTCTTCACGCAATGCTTTCTCCTCCTCAGCTTGCCTTCTCGCACGAGAAACGTGATACTGAGCTTGAGACAGCAAATCTCGACACTTACTTGCTTCTTTCTCAGATTGTTTGAGATCGAGCTTCATTCTATCACCATGTTTGCTCAAAAACGTAAAATAATTTTGTGCCAATTCTAGTTCAGTCACAGCACGTAGCACAGTCTTCAAATTACTTTTTTCATCTCTCAAAACGTTCATTGCCAACTGTTGCATCACGACCGAAACATTATAAAGCACAACCATGTCGTTTGGAGCTACGTGCCTCGCTTTCATCAGTACCTTTTTACAATCAGTCAACTTGTTGCATTTGAAATAAGCTCTAGCAAGATAAGTTAGTACCTCAGGGTCGTGGTGTTTGTAGAACTTCTTGAGACAATTTTCATACATCTGTACGGCACTTATATATTGCCTTTGCTCAACATAAATATGAGCCAAATTAAGCCAGACATCCGCGACTTCAGCAGTTGCTTCACGAACTTGTGAAAAAATATCCCGAGCCTCACGAATATAACCTTTATGTGCAAGGACAGATCCAATTCCGTTCGCAGCGAAGATATTTTTCGGATCATTTCTTAAAACTTGTTTAAACATGGCGAGAGCGCGGTCCTGGTGGCGTTTTTCTTTCTCTTTGTCTCTGGTTGGGTTATGAAGGGTTTGAAGCCAGACATTACCGAGAGCAAGCATAGAATAAGCATCGTTTTGTGTTTTCTCATTTTTCAAAATTCTTTCGAACTTTTTCTGTCCAGGTCCCCACTCTTGTTTAGCAAGATGTAAATTCCCAATCAGTGACCAAGCATCTGGATGGTCCTGGTTTATTTGTAAAGCTTCTTTGAACCACTCGGACGCCTCATAAATCTGCCCTCGGTCTCGAGCAAGACAACCAAGCCTCAGATAGCAATCAGTGTAATTCGGATGATGTCGTAAAATATTTTTATAATGTTCGACAGCAGTTTCGAAATGGTACATTTCCTCGCACAAACGCCCTAGATTGTACTGCATTGTAACTGTTATGGAATGGTAATAAACCTCATCATGATCTGCTTCCGCCATTGCACGCTCCATCGCAGCTTCATAGTACTTTTTCGCTTCTTTTAAATTCCCGAGACGAAAATGAAGAGCGGCGACATTGTTCAAAATCTCAGGTGGGATATCAGCTTGTACGGTGTCCTTGAGTATAGAAGTTGCAGTTCCATAAGCAGCTAGAGCTCCCTGTATGTCAGACTGTTCTAATATCTGAGCAAGCTCGATCCAAGCCTCAACATCATCAGGATATTGGTCTGTGATTTTCTTTAAATGCTTACAAGCTAATCCCTGCTTTTCTGGGCTGTCAGATTGAGCGTACAATGATCCTAATATTTTCATTGTCTCGTAGTTGTTTGGGTAAGCTTTCAGCACCTTTTCGAAACATTCAGCAGCTCTTTCCTTATCTTGTTCTTCTCCTTTGAAAATATACATTTGTCCTAAACCATAATAAGGCATGACAAAATTCGGAGTTGCAAACTGTGTTGCTTGGTAATAATACTGAAAAGCTTGGTCATAATCTTCTTGTACGTGAAAACTTCTTGCCAACTGATAACAGCTTTCTGCTTGAACAGCCTCATTTTCAGTATTATGAAATGCATGCAACGCAAGATGCTGAACTTTTTCGTAATCTTTTTTGAAGAAAAAATGGTTTGCAAGGTGGTTAAGCACCATTGGGCTACTAGCGTCGATTTGATAGGCACGAGAAAGTCTCTGAATCCCGGCACGGATCGAATCCACGTCCTTGTTATTAAGATCAAGTATAGCAAGCCCAACAAGACCTCCGACACATACCGGGTCTAAATCTACTGCTCGTTGAAAAGCTTGTCTTGCTTTGTCAAGTTTATTGAGTTTGTAAAAGCAATGTCCCATTCCTAGTCTCACATCAGCTGGGCAGTTTGGATTTGTCCTCAAGGCCTTTTTGTAATATGCCAAGGCACCTTTGTAATCCTTTTTATTAAAAGAAATACAAGCTTTGCCAAGAAGAGAAGGAATATTATCTGGCGATTGGTTCATTACAAAATTAAACTGAGCGTCAGCTTGGTCCATTTTGTCACCTTCAAGCAAGCAAAAGCAAGCACGACCCAGCAAATGGTTCTGATCGTACATAATAATCTTGTCAGCCATGGTATACAGCTGTGTGGCTTGCATAAAAAGGTCAGTTCTTTTATCTTTGTTCTTTTCTTTACGAGCTTGTTGAACATAATATGCAGCCAGGGTGTCGAGGCAAGTCATCTGGTCTTTTTCATGATTGTGATATTCGAGATTCGCATTTGTACGAGCGGATTCTAAAATCTTTACAAATTCTTCTACTTTGGTTTGTTTGTAGTATTCAAGGGCCAATGTTATCCATATATTCAGAGTTGTGTTTTCTTGTTTTAAAATTCCCAAAACCTCTTCACCCTCTGGCAATTGAGCCAAGTCAAGTTCAATGACCTCATCAGTGTCACGAAGTGGGATTTCAACAGACATTATGATGTCACAATTTTAATTTTCTTTCAAAAAATGTCAATCAAGAATGCTTTGTCAACATCAACAACCAAAGTTGGAACAATTGGAAATTCCTCGTTCAATTTTGGGTGGAGAAAAATCCTCACACAGTCTTAGTATTAAGTATAATTGTATTTTCAGTCGCTCTCTCCAAGATTCTCACTACTGGTCCCACTTTGAAACAACAGTTTTTTTCTTTTTCACACTGGGATCATAGACGTACTTTCTGTTATTGAATAAGTACAATCCCAAAGTTGTGGCGATCATAAAACCATAGACTCCGTATCCAAGTTTCTTCCTTCCTGTCAAACCTGACCACCAGTCTCTTATCTCACCCATGATAACATTTCAAATAATGAAAACTGAAAAAAAGTTTGATAAAGATGATAATGCAGAGTTCGAAATTAATAAATTATTTGACTACAAGAAATTTACTGATTGGAATTAGAAAACAAATTAAAAGTATATAATATGGCTACATAACTACGGTAACTAATAATACACATAATGTCCAAAAATTTTTCCTGATTTTATAGTAATAACAATCAAAAATTTCTTTGTCTTTGTTTATTAATAGCTCTCATTATGCTTGTAGTTCTTATTTACCATACAATAAAATTTACTCAAACTTACAATTATTATTACTATAAAATCGGGCGAAATTTTTGGATACCCTGTATATTCGGACAGTAAAATCTTCCAGAAGCAATGCCCAAATATGATGAGACAAACAAGGGCTCTTAAGAGCTCAGCGAAAGTAAGAAAGCAGATAAAATTGATAGCCTATAAAAACACACTTCGATTTTTACCCCTGAATATTTGAAAGTGATTTTCACACACAACAAGAATATTCTAAACAATTAACAGGTTTACTTTGCCCCTAAAAATCTCAAGAGATTCTAAATATCACAGTTAGATAATATTATCAGAATATGAAAAATTGAACATAAAATCTGCATGAAGAAGACCAACATTTCATCTATAGTAATCAACAAACATTTTATAGTAATCAAATATATTTATAAGAAAATAGAAAATACAAGCAGCTGAAGCAGCAGAATTAACTGTTACTAAAAATCAATGAAGTATGACAGGCCAGAATAATCTCATTCAAATTGGGGAGCCTTCAGAAGCCAAAATTAGAAATGTAAGAACATTTGCAGGCCGGAAGAAGGGAAAGCCCGTATGGGCATGACCTATGCGTAATCCTAATACCGATACGTATATTCAAATATAATTGAATTGTTAAGAATGTACATACATGTACGAATACACAATCTGCGCCATCTAGAGACACATTAAAAGTTGAACTATTTCATTGAAGTTTGGCGGGCCATATTAAATCGTTATGCGGGCCGTGGTTTGGGAACCACTGGTCTGAATGAACTGACTTGGTCTCATATTCAATTAACTGCAAGTAAGACTTATGTAGCTCTATGATTGAATCAATTTCGGAATTAGATTAGATGAAGACACACCAATGACCTGTGATTCAGGGTTCAGGCACTTTTACCCAACATTGGTATTCATTAGTTAGGGATGAGGTTTAGCATAATCACTAAAATTCATTCTAGAATCACTGCTAGGAAAAAAACAAGCATGACCGAGCAGAATAATCTCATTTGGATAACATTAGGCTTGTGCTGAAGTATACTTTAACCAAATAGAGAACATAAAAATAAATTAATCACTTGATAAAACTCAAAATAAAATTGCAGTTTTCATAGCTGATCCAAAATTTTTCAATTAACACAAATTCAAAGTAACCAATTATAAACCCTGCTATAACATCAGTAATGTGATGTCTACCAAGTATAACTCTTGATATTCCAACAACATGGCACCAAACTTGTAACAGAGCTCGTAGAGGGATAGCTAGTTTGATATGATACAGAATGAACCAAGTAACTAAGTAAGCACGGGTGGCATGGCCAGAGGGAAACGAGAAATTATCTACAGATACAGTAGCAAACATATCGTTTTTGTTATAAGCCGGTCGGCGTCTTCGTGCTATAAGTTTTATAGTTCCGACGATGATAAGGTCCATTAATAACGCAATTAGAAGGTTAAAAAACACTTCTTCGTACATGTAATTTCGAGTGTTGTAAAGTACGTATAAAGTAAAAGCTATCCATGGTATTCCATGGCATGAAAGTTCCAATATTTGCATTATAGGACGAAGCCGTCCTCCTTTTGCATTCACAGCAAGTGACTTTGACAAACTTAGATCAGCAGCAACAAATGTTTTATGCATTATTTCCCATGTTGAATGGCTTTGTGGTCCTTCATCGTCCTTTTCTTTCATGGTTTAGTTTTTTGACTTTGGACTTTTGTTTCTGATCAAAAGCCCAGATATTGTTACAAAGGGAATTAATCTAGGATATGTACAGTAACTTATACAATGTAAATGTGTATCAGTGTTTCTAGACTCTGTCTTGAAAAATTATATTACAGTGTTAACAATTTCTGAATTTTGTAACAAGTAAGCAAACAGGTGAGGGAACACATACTGGCATTAGCGGCATACTCATAACCACTTTTTTAGACAACACCTTTCCATCTAAAATCTGTACCGTACATTTCTAACTTTACCGTACTTCTGCACTTTGTTTTGTTTGCTTTCCTGAATCTGTACCGGTAATCCAGTAATCAGTTTGTATCTATTTTATTTTATCGATTATTTTATTGTCTGTTATTCTGATTACTGGATTATGAGGTTGGAACAACTAAGTGCCGTAGTTGAGTGTATTTCGATTTTTCGTTACAACGATGCACGTGCTCACTCAACCCAAACTTATATAAGTTACCGATACATTATTCTGTTATTAGTCAGCCAGACAATGCAATCTTAAGCAATCGCCAATACAGCAATACTAAACAAGTTACGGTACCGGTACCTACCATACCGTAAAACCGGCTAACTTCGGATGCCTTGTAACTTCGGATGAAATTTTCAATCATTCATATCTCACTCGATTCTGCTTCAGGCAAGGAAAACGCGATACCGGTACCGTCTGCTTTAGCTGAGAGGTCTGCGTGGTGACCAGAAGTCAGCTGTCACCCAATTCACACAAACCATAAGTTCGAAAATATCAATTTCCGTGCCAATTATAACTACAAATTGATCATCGCAATATTTCTAAATTCGCATTTTTTACTACGGTACGGTAACGTAAATAAAAATATACTTTATATATGGAATAAAATATAAATACTGAAATACCGCAAGGTGCCGCACCAAAATGCACCCGATGTTATATTTTTTTTTATTGGATTTTTATAAAATAAAACAATATTGCAATAAACAATATCGATCAAAAAACAATACATAACAATGTCATTCCAGATCACTCGATACATGCCTTTTATGGGATTTTTATAAAATATAAAACATAATTGCAGTGAACAATATTGAAAAAATACCATTTCATCCTATCTATAAATCAATATTCATCTGGTTATAGCAATTGCAAAGCCTCAACTAGCGAATACTATTATACGCCTATGGATGTTTCTCCAAGCATCGATTTTCTTGTTTATGCTCGTAATAATGACCGCAATAAGTCAACAATGACGTAACAATTGCAATTTGTGTAGCCGCTCAGACACATCTTCCCGGACAGATATTTTAACGGTTGTAAGTATTGCCTCCATCTCCTGGTTTTGCATTTTATTCGTCAGTTTTCTGTTGTGTTTCCAAAAATTAGTTGTAAGTCAAATGACTTAATCATGAATATGTCTTCCTAGGAGCTTTAGTTTAGCAATATTTAGCCCCGAAAAAGCTGCGATTTCAGTCAAATCGGTAACCCTTTCGTTCATGACTTTTTCGTTCACAACAAATTTTTAGTTTTGTTTTGAAATGAAGTGTTTGCGATGTCAATGGCATAGATACCGGTACTAAAAATGACGCCCGCCTGTGGCTGGGCCACGGAAACATTTTGATGTAGGCCACAGACATATTCAAAATTACTAGTTATATGTGTGTCACGACAGTGAATTTTGATAGTATTAACAATGTATTTTGATATTAGGTATTTGTTGCTACCGAGTGGTAATTTTAATTACTAAAGTGAACGTCTCAATTTTTCGGGGGTCAAAGATCAGGAAAACATCTATGCCGTAGGGCAGGGGTCACCAAACTACGGCCCGCGGGCCGGATCCGGCCCGCGACGTCATTTTATCCGGCCCGCGGCGTCATTTTATCCGGTCTGCAATAACACACAGAAATGGCTAAATTATTTTCAAAGGGAGATTTTCACGAGCATCGTCGTCCTTGTTTATTTCGTAACATTGGCCAATTGGCAAGATGCAAAAAAGTGACGTAATAATAGGCCTTTCCGCATCCGCTCAGACACTTTTGTCACCCTGACAGATTTTCAGTCGTGGTTGTAAACAAAACTTGGTTTTTGCAACTTTGAATGCTACCAGCAGTAACGTTTTCTGCGATACACTTGAACACTCGTGGCGCGTGCTTTCGACGGAACTGTTTGTTTTTTGTGCTAAAATAAACGTCGAATGTGCATTTTGTGCTAACAGTACTGTAATCCCTCGCCTACTGCTTCAATTTCAAAAGCCACACTAACTTTTGTACTGCTTTAATGCGGATATTCATGTAGGTATGTTACAAAAAAATTAAAGTTCATCCGATTTAAATGAAAACTGCTCCAGTGGAAGGATCTGAGTAAAAATAGAAAACAATACCAAGTTTATAATAAACGGTCAAGAAATAACGGAGATATCGGAATTTTAGTACCGCCCGACAGGCCAATTTTTTCCATAATGATTGTATTACTTTTTTGATAAGAACTGAACTAAATATGGAAAAATAACACATATCAATCACTAATCTTTCGTTGTGCGTCACATCTATGGTATATTGAGACTATTTCAGGATTTTATTCTGGCAACGGTCATTGACACCGCCAAAAGATCGTCGTAAATAAACGCTGGAGTGCATGATAGTTTGACAGTGGTTCATTGTGGGTAATAATTAACGATGTTTTGATTGTACGAACTTCATAAAAATTGTATCAAGTTAGGAAAGAAATACACACGTCCATATAAATTTTATTGGTGTCCATAGACAATATCATTAATTTGCGCTACGTATAACTGGAGCGTAATTTTTAAAAGCGTCGAATGTTGGGAAATTTATGCGCTAATGAGAAAATCAAATACCAGATAATAGTTGTTTATTTTATCTAAATTATGTCAAAATTTCATAGAATTCCAAGCTACAGCAGGCAGTCGTTTTTATAAGCGGTATTTCAACACGACGTAACGGTACCTAGCAGACGTGATGCGTACATTTTTGGCCGCGGATTTTATAACATTTCTAATTCATGACAGCAACGTTTTGATAACATCTAAACTCAGGATAGTTGTCTCGATATGGAAATCATGTTAATTTTTTTCACTAGAATGTTCTCGATCTATATTCTGCGATATTCCCCACATTTGTGAATTAATTGTATTGCATTGACAAAAATATTCATCCGGCCCGTTTCAACACAATTTGAGTCATATCCGGCCCGCGGTCAAAAAAGTTTGGTGACCCCTGCCGTAGGGGAAAAGGTCCCTCTTTTTTTTCGAAATTACGCGCGAACCATCTGGAATCGTTTCTTTTGTCAGATTGTGGTATGCTGGACTGGTTTTGATGCACATAGACATTATAGGCTTTCCCCTCCCTATGTAAATCCTATCCTAACTCGTGTGGGTTAGTCTCCTTATACAACTTGATGTAAAGTAGGTAAACAAAATTCGTTACCACCATATTGGCACACATACTTCTGGATTGTCCTCATTTTAGCTAGAATAAACATTTTGTTCCAAGGATACTACCACCCTTACGTGGCTTATACCATAGACGCTAACATGGGTATCAAATACCTTATGTCTATTTTCCTTTCACCCCCACGTTGGATCTTTCGCCATTTACCCGATGCCTTTATTGCTATAACGCTAAGGATAAGCGATATCCGCATTTTTAGGGCCCAGAAGTTGGTTGGTCTGAAGTTGGTCATATGGCCCACCGACAAAAAATGCTGCACACCCTGCTCTAGTACAGTTGGTGAGTTGCATTCAACTTTTTGGTATTTTGAATATTTATCGAAAGAGGTGCTTTGCCCCACGTTTTTGTTTTAGTAAAGTATCGTCTTGTGCATGCACCATGTCTCCAACATTATGCCAGCTCATCTATATTGTTTACAAATTTCAATGTGTCATTATGAATACTCATTAAAATTCCCTGTTGCAGAGATCCCACAGAATTTGGAGCGAACTGAGGAGGGAAATTTATCGATTTGTTTTAAGTACATTAGCACTTTTTATGATTGTTATACTTGGGGTTACCATATTTTTGTGACCTCAAAGCGGACGCCACCACAGCTGTGAATTTTTCAACTTTAAATTCATCGATTTTACATCAGGGGCCCACATTCAAAACCATCCCGGTTGTCTTCAAGAGTGCATGCGCTGTCTATCTAAAAAGGAATTTACGTTAACGTTAAGCACCCTTGTCCTTTTGGCGTTTACACGTAACAAATTGTAGCAATTATCAGCGGAAAACAACGAAACAAACAAATCCGCCTTTATAAGTAGGCTACCGGTACGCTACACCGCAACAACAGTATCGAGAACATGCTAATTGGTAATGTCTTATATTATGCAGACTGGCTGAACGCCAAAGCGGGACTTTAGGCTGACCGGCCGAGACAACGGGGCAAACGTTGAGAAGGGGGACTGTTCCGCCTAAAACGGGACGTATGGCAAGCCTAGTTATACTGTTACTCATGCAATTATTTAGGTAATCTTAAATTTCCTTAATATACACCACTCCACTTTAATCTGGTCCAATGTGACACCACGAAACATCTGTCTGATACTATTCAAGCTTCGATCATTTTAAAGTAGGCTACTGCAGATGCTAATAATTAGGAAGTTAAAATCAGCCATATACTTCAATACCAAATCGAAATAAAATTATGGCCCAACCCTAACCATGTTCACATATTACGGGAGTATCGGCAAATCGGTGCTCACGTAGTATTCGTACCAAGATGGCGCACAACCTGTATATAATATGTGTACCAGGTTAGGGTTAGCAGGTTGTGCGCCATATTGGTACGAATACTACGGGAGCGCCGGCAAATTAGCCTCGATGAAAGTGTCTGTTGATGGTAGATTTCACTCGCATCGATTGATGATTTGTACGAGTTATAATTAATATGTAAGCAATTTAAATGAAATCAGAAAACACTCTCTCTGGCTCTATTTATTGCTCGTAATTATGTAAGAATAGTACGAATACACATCAAATAATAACATAGGAATGGACACATGACAGGGATGGTAGTATCGTTAAGACAATGGAATCGTTATCAAAAACAACAATTTATTTGATCCCAATCAAGCATATCTATTTCGTAATCTATTGACTGATTAGATAAATGTGTAATTCTGATAAGTTGAAAGATAAAAATTAACAAATGGGATGGAACGTTGAACCCATGTCTTCTACATTCTCATATGCTGAATCGGCTTCCTTATAAATATTTACGTTTTAAAAATACAACAAATTGATGAAATATAAAAAATGAACATGTTGGTGACGTCATCATTCATATCATGTGATGATGTCATACGCTTCAGAAATGTATCTAATTGCAACATGACGGCCAAATCTGGAGAAGTTATAACGTAATAATTGCATGCTGTGCCAATATATGATCAAAAATAAAATAATATTTCCGAATAAAAAAACGAATAATACTTGATAAAATATCCGACAATACAGGGAGATAAAATATTTTTACAGGTGTTATTCCTCAGGAATGCATGTACTAAAATCCGGAACAGAAGATTGCAAAGAAAAAATGATTATTCGGTCTTTTCGAATGATAAAATGCGATTAATTACACAACAAAAAGTGCCAATGTACTTGCAAGGACATCCGTAAATTTTAATTGAAAAACAATAAAAGAAAACTCGGAACACTGGCTTTTGTATGGAATTCATATACTGGTTGATACAATTATGGCTATATTATACACGAATATCTCTGTTTTTCGATGTTTAACGAAATTTCTCTTTCCAATATGATATGGAGGGAATATTATTTATTGTAAAATTCTCGACTATAGTAAAAAAAATGGCCTTGTCACATACGATCCAGAATGTACATGTGAAATATGCAAAAACTAGCTCATTGAATGATCAAATCTTTTTACAAAATGACAAAATCCAAGAAAAACGTCAAATAAAAATAAGTTTATTTTATTGATGACTAAAGCAATATTTTTCAATATAAGTGAGTTTTAGACCCAGTCGCCGAATCCGCATTTAATCCAATTTTGAGCAAAGAATAGTGAGTGAGTGACACCAATTAATACCTAATCTCCGACGGGGGGGAAATAATACGAATGAAAACGTTATTTTTCCAAAATATTTTACTGTCTCGAATATCTGTTGACAAAAATGATAAGTAATATTATATTGCATGCTTGTTCATCATAAATTTCCCATAATTCACTAGTACTCCCACAATACACCTTCATCATCGCGGCATCCACTGGCGGTCAATGTTCCGGTGACCTTGTCAGCTACTAAGAACTTGTCGCTTTGCTCTGGTCGGATCATTAGCCTGCTGTGCTTTACCAATTCAATGATGAAATATTCTGGGTGAGCGGAATTGATTGCGATACTGCTATCACCAGTGAGAGCCCAGTACTTGCCGTTTCGTCCTGAAACACAGATAACGTTTAATTAAGTATGAACACTAACAAAAAACAAATTACTGAACATATGTCTGAGCAGTGGTGTACTCAGGTTTCAGGATTCGATAATCGAGAAGTCGTACGTCTTAATAAGGTGTCATATTTGCTTTGACGTCCTGTTGAACTTCAGTAATAAATGACGTCATAATAAATCCATGTGAACTGCTACATTGCAGCTGCAAGCAAGTACATTTGGCAAAAAGCGAAAGATAAAATTCCACATTTTCGCAAATAGTGACGGGTGATCGCAAAAGTAGTGATCTCAAAAGTACAAAAGATCTCAATAACCCAAGCTTTGGATATACGCTTTAGGTTTACCTAACCCAAGAATAGTCGGAATCTGGAATTTTAAAACTGACAAAAACTAAAATTTGGAACCAGAATTACAATTTGAAATCTGGGAATTGAGCGACCGCACAGCCATTTCATTGAGCTCGGGGTTAAAATGGAAAGTAAACCGGTAGACACTGTACCTTTGAACGCATAAGCTCCATCTTTTTCTTCCATCGTGAAGATGTCGTAATTTGCTCTCTTTCCGTTCAATTTCTCTCCGTGGATTCCAATAAAACTATTCATGCATCGGAACACGATCACAGGGCTTAGAATAAAAATTTATTTGTTTATTGAATGTTAACTGAAAGTTTTAGTTGCAAAAAAATAAAACGTTGCATAAGGAATCTTTTTATACGACTTATAGGAACGCTAAACTGAGAAAGCTATACTAAAGTAAAGACAGAGTGCTTAATTAATTGGTCTCAAATTTAGGGATGTGAGTTTCGAATACTTTATTTTCGAATTAAAATTCGAATCAGAAAGTTTATAAAATGCCATATTTGTGAACCTTGTAAACATTTTAGGTAGTTGTACAAAAAAAACAAGAACAACCATAGGTTCCTGGGAAACTAGGACCTATAACAAATATAACAACTTCAGAATTGTAACGACACAGGGAAAAGATGTAAATGCAATCTTTAAAATGGTTGAATAAACGAAGACAAGCGTTGATTATATAAATTACTATTTTAAACAGTCTAGTCTAGCCGATTTATCTGAAATTGCTTCGAATTTATGTTAACTCAAATTGTTTGAACCGAATTTCTGAAACCCACATTTCTAGGCTAAATAGCGCAGGTTATCGATGTGCATACTTTATACGGAAATTTACTAATAAAATGCAAGGTTATTGTGGTTGTTCAGTCGTCAAAAGAAACTGTTGCCTCGTAATAAAACGTGGCTGCAAAAAATCATATAACAAGAGGCGGCCCACTGGCCTAGCTAGTTGTTGTGACGATAAGGGTTCATAACTTCATATTGTACCCGGGAGAGAAAAGTCGATAAGACGACTTAATCCTATTTCGAATGAACTTCATGTTCAGTTACCAGTCCATGTCGTGTATGGGGGTTGTGAACCAAGAGCATGACATGGTATGGGCTATTTTTCAAACGATATCATACCCTCACCGATTTATGAGAGTCAGAACAAATTCTTCGGCATCACTTTCGTCAGACTTCAGGATCAAGTTTCCTCCGGATTTGACAGCGACGTACTTTCCAGACGCCGTCCTCAACCGAACTGATCTTCCCCGCCACTCAATCTGGAACCAGGAGTCATCGTCCCTGTAATGCAGATAACACGAATCAGGCATTCGCCCCACAAGCGGTCGCAAAGAAGCGAGAAGATGGGCATGTTTTCATAAGTATCGGGGATTTTTTAGTTCGGCATGTAGATTCCCAAATACTCTGGATGGGTGAGATGGTTGTCATGGGAGCAAGGGCGTGTCTAGAGGGGGTCATATTGACAACCGCCCCTCGCAGCACGTCATAGAAGTGAGTTTGTTGCTTATTTTGATGATTTAAATATTAACGTTTTTATAATATTAAGAAGCACAATGTCACACTCGTTGTTTTTATGACGTTATTTTCAACGGGAATTTATATCCATAAAAACTATAGTCGTGATTTCAGTAGACTCAAGGTAGCCGGATGAAACACTTTGTTGTCTGCTTGTTCTATCATCAGTATATGAGTGCTATATTAGAAACGGATCACTAGGGACGAGAGTTAACAAATTATTTGTAACCGCTATGAATTGATAAAATATCACCGGTACTCCCGAAGTTAAGTATGTGAACCAAGATGACGGACACCGGAGCGTAGTATGTGTACCAGGTTAGGGTGCGGCCATAATTTTATTCCAATTTCCATTATTTTAGTTTTATTACAAGTTCGGGGACTAGCCAAGTGACTCATGTGGTAGTTGTACCTGTAATTATGACCTATCCCTAACCTGGTACACATACTACGTTCCGGTGTCCGCCATCTTGATTCACATACTTCGGGAGTACCAATACCATATTACCAATCTTAGTCATACCTCTTATGATTGTTGGCCATCACGTTGTTGTTCATATCGCATTTCCAGTAGTTATCCTTGGTGGTTCTGAAACTCCAAAATCCTGTATCCGGGTTGATTTCCATCTGGAAGGTTTCAGTATTATCTTCAGATGGCTCTTCTTGGTTTGCGACAACTTGGACACCTGGTGGAACAAGAGAGCAGTGCTCAAATCAAAATGTTCCCATACGTCACATAAAGAGTGTTCTCCAAATCAAAATGAAACAGAGAGATTTCCGTCTGGACTATCGAGACCTGTGTGACTCGAAGAAAATTCGAGAAATAAAATATGGGCGCTCCAGAAGTGTGTGTTCTAATATGGATGTAACTAATTTTGTTCGCCTTTTTTACATCAAGTTTTGTAAAGTGAATGAAGCCTATGGACAGATGGTATATTCACTTGGCTAACGCAGACAGTACCCGAACTTGTAATAGAACAGAAATAGGAGAAAATCGGAATCAAATTATGGCCTAACCCTAACCTGGTACACATACTACGGGAGTACCAAAATATAAGCGATTCTCGCGTCTTCAGCCATCTTTAAGTACTGAATATTCGATTGGCCAATTGGAAGCGGAGAAAAGCGTTTAAAAAAACAATTTACCAAATGAATCCGCATATACACTACCTCAAGGGTAGGCAATAAATTTTCTGAGTGGGTCAGTTACAGATAATAGACTTGGTTTCTGGGTCGGAGGCTCAAAACTGAACAGAAAACTATGAATAAAACAGTCCATTTACAACAGCTAGGCTAAAGTTTATATAACAATAAGAAGCACAGTGTAACAATCGGGGTCATTATGACGTAATTTTTATCGTTTTCAACGGAAATTTATATTCATAACATCTATAGTCGTAATTTCAGCAAGTGAAAATGGGCCGGAAGGAACGCTTCGGAGGGCCGGATCCGGCCCGCGGGCCGATATTTGCCAACCCCAGCACTATTTCGTAATTACAAATTTTTTATTTTTAGCTAGCTACCAATACAGTTTATATGATTTTATTTTGGTGGACAACATCGATGACGTAATTGATTGATGACGTGATGGAAATGTCGACATTGACTTGACGTCTGAGTGAGTGCGAATCACCTCGATTTGAGTGACTCTCTTATAAATAAACGGAAGCTTTCCGGCAAATTCTTCAATTTCCCAAATTAAATACAGCTCATAATATGCATTCAATTGTAAACGGTCTGGCATACTGCGAACGTGACGGGCGTTGTCGGCATAAGTGTGTATTTGTCACGTCATAATTAACAAGCTATAATATCGAGCCGGCTTGCACATCACGCACAATCAGGTCAAAATGTAACAAACATCTACTTGGCCAAGTGCCGGCCATGGATAAATACACGCCTGAAATGTTTTCCATTAATGGCCCATGTCGCTGTTCGACTATTTAAATTTTAAAACACAAGAGACATAAAATTTCACGAATATGCTATTTATATCGTATTTTTTTGAAATTAACATATGGATAGAAAACTTAAATTTTTTTCAAATATTGGCGACTGGCGTGATATTAATTGCTAATTGCATGGCACGCTGTTGGTCTGACGAGTAGCTTAGGATTGATTGTGTTTCGTGGGAATACAACTTTCAAATTTTACTTATTTGTCGTCGTCCTAATCAACTTAACATATTTTTTGCTCAGATTCTGTTTACTAAAACCTATACTAGCGATTCCCAGCCGGGACCGGACCCCCAAGTTGAAGCGGGGCACACATCTAGGCGCAAAATTGATTTTACTTTTCCATTGACAACAAATCTCCCCGTTTATCTTAGTTTCATTGCTTAATTAATAAAGCCATATGTTTTCACTTTGTTGAGCATGAATTATTTGAACATAATGGGATTTGGAATCTACCAATCAAAATGCCACTGGAATGATAAACAGGGGGCCATGAGTGCTAAAGCCTCCGGAAGGGGTTCATGAGCCCCAAAAGGTTTGGATCTATACTATGTCCTATTATCCACCAATGGTCTTAATTATAGACCGAAAGTTTTCTCTAAGAATTTCCAAATTGTAGAAAGCCCATGCTTACACCTAGTTGTTTCCCGAGCAGTAATAACTTGAATTGTATAAAGTCTGGTATCAAACGTTTTTTTATTGGCGCACAGAAAAACTCGTACCTAAATCCCAGTTTATGACAAAATTGCTCAAAGCAAAGTCTCGCGCACTCACTATGAAGTAAAGGAGACACGTCTCTATGTTAAGTTATAAGTAACCATTGGAATACCGAAATCCACCGAAACCATGCAGGCGCACCAGAAGTGTGTGTACGAATATGGAGGTAACTGATTTTGTTCGCCTACTTTACATCAAGTTGTGTAAAGTGACGGAAGCCTATGGGCGGGGAATATTCACTTGGATAACACAGACAGTCCCCGTACTCGTAATAGAACTTAAACAAGGAAAATCAGAATAAAAGTATGGCCTAGTCCTAAGCCGGTACACATACTACGGGAGTACCAAATTTTGGTGATGTATTACACGCCAGTGAATGTCTATTGGTGCAAGGCTTAAAGCAGTTAAAATCAATACGACCAAGATTACATGTCACATCGGTACTGTTCTCTCTCAACTCAAGAATCTGAGCCAAAGATAATTTAAATTGGTTTATTATTTATACTAGATAGCATTAACCGTTTGTTACCTTGCTTGACTGAGACGAATTTGTTCCTTGTTTTTGATTTCAGATGGAATTGTGGATGAGAATCCTGCATTGAAAACTTCTCATCTTTTGACACTTGACCTTTCCTGGATTGGATCGCTCCCTTGGGTCCGATTGGAGACAAGTACCTGAAATAAAAGATGACAGGTCAGTTTCTAGGGAATTTCCTGCTTATTGACTTGGCCCGCTAATGAAGCCCATGCATATGGAACTCTTCTATTGATTTACTACGAACAAACTTGACCTATGGGGCCATAGGTCACAAAGCTTCAAAAATATTCATTGTAATATTCAAAGTAAGGCATCAAATTTCTTGCAAAAACTGGACATTAGACTGACAAACGCACATCCGTGTTTGCTATAAATATGATTGAGCTGGTTATTGAATTTCGTCTTTTATGCTCTGCTCAAGGAGAACTCCATAAACATAGAATATATTACCATCAAGGTGATTCTGGTATTTAAAAAAAAAATTTGTCCAGTAATGGCTTGGAACACTCCACAAAATGCGCTTTTGGCATAAATAATTTTAGTTTAAGCAAGCTTTGAATTCGGTATGCTATACAAAACAGAGAGTGTTCCAGAAAATACAAATTATGTGCACAACATCTTCTATACAGCATTTCAGTTTTATTTCGAAATCAATAACATTACGTCACCAGTTTGGTTGTCTATACGCCCGGATGTTGCGTAGTTAGAATATATCATATCTCATGGTTTAAACGTTAAGATCAATATCCCAAGCAATCAAAAGCGACCCTATATGCTCTCATATGGATAAGCTGAAAAGCAATCTTTCTATGTATTTAATATCTTCGCATCAAAGAAGGTCCTATGGCAGCAGTCATTAATGTGGAATGAGCTGAAAATTTAGAAAGCAATCGGAATCTCTGTGGTTCGGCGTTGCCTATTGCGACGGCAACATATCCTGATCTAACGCTATATAGTACACCATACAGGGCTACTCAACTATTCTCATCGAAAATAGGATAGGATAGGATTTACACATTTATCCCGGGGGAGAGGAAAGCCGATAAGACGGCTTAATCATATGGCGAACCACGGCCTCTCGTCCGGTTACCAGTCCAGGTCGGGTATGGGATTAGTTAGCCAGTTATTTGTTTTCGGAAGCATGGACTTGATGGTGGGGGAACCCGTAACCGACCAGCGGTTACGTGAACCACCCTACGGCGGCGAGGAGTCCAGCATTCCTCTAGCACATGATCATCCCCGCATGGGATTCGAACCTGCGACCCCACGAAGGGTAATCAGAGATGCGGTGGCGAGCGTATTCCTAACGCTTAGCACAATGTCCGGAATCCGGAATTTTACTGCATCTGCAATCGTACTGTGCACACTGCTAATACAGAAAATTGTTATTTCGTACCGTGCGCATATTTTTTACTACGAGCTCATGAAAATAGTCATGCACTGTCCAGAATTTTGCTTCTTCAAATATGGTGACATAACAATTGGCGGCGTCTAGAACGCAAAAAGGTAAAAACACAAAGTGTTAAACTATTTTACCTGAGTTCGGCGGGCCATATTAAACAGTTACGCGGGCCGTAATTGGCCCGCAGGCTGCGGTTTGGTAACCACTGCTTTACAGAGTTTCGTTAGTGGGGAAAGGCATTTTATAACAATAAGACGAAATTTCCAGGTAAAAGAATTATCACTCACTTTCCGTCCATATCTTTAAATGCGATACACCCGGCATAAAACTCCAAAGTGAATCTCGTGCTAGGCCCAAAAGAATCTTCTAGGGTGCCAGCTTTTGAAAGATATCGGTTATCCGCAGTCATGAGTCCGTATCCCCTCTCTCTGTAGACGAGAGTGATGAGGGTATTGACTCCCCATGGAGTAAGTTGAGTCACTTGTAGTTCGTCTCCTTCGACCGCCGCAAACTTCTTTCTGGTCAAGCTGTACAAGTTCATCTAAATAGAGAGGATTGTTACTTATCGATTTTAATCGGTAAATATGTTGATAGGTATTTGTCTGTACGTATGTCTGTTAGAAGCACGCGATATCTCACGAAAGCGAGATTGAATCTGCTCCAGATTTTGCATGTGCATTCATCATATGTCGTACCAGAAGCCCATCGATTTTGGATGAATTATGTGTTATAATTAGCGAGTTATTAAAAAATTAGTGATGGGACACAAGGTGTCCCTATGGAGTAAGAGCGCTGTTTAGGGGGATCCCCTAACTTTCGATCGATAAGTCTTCGGTCTCTGACCGATATTCTCGTTTGTGTTTTAATTGGTATTACTATAAAATCGTGCGAAATCTTTGGACACCCTGTATATATTCTATAGCCAGTGGTTCTCGAACAAGGGGGCGTAGACAATTTTTTGAGGAGCGTGAAGCTGATTGAAAATAAACTATTTGTTAGATTTGATCTTGCTCGCCCTATTTTGGATATTTACATTTCTTTATTTTGGATATATACGTTCCATCTACGTATTTTCAACGTGTTTTTGGAATAAAACATACTTTCACCTCACTATCTGTTATTTGTAGCTCATTGTTAGCTAGTTATTTTTTAGGTGGGCGTGAGACTTGACAAATTCTGAAAAGGAGGCGTGGCTTAAAAAGGTTGAGAACACTGTGTTAGATGATATGTGATATTAGTAAAAAGTGAACATTAGCAGAGAGAGAGGAAAAGACTTTTCAACTAAAATGCAGTTATCGGAACACTATAAAACAAAAATAAGATTGCAATGTTCAAATATATAAAGGTCAAATGTCATAAAAAAGGGGTTTTCGTGAACTATAAAATAGCAAAATTTTAGATAAAATACATGGTGTCCATTAATCGATTTACAATTTCAAATTTCAATTTTGGTATGAAACCAGTTCTCAATATATCTTAACCAGGTTTTTTGTATTTTAATCAGTAATTGTTCAAGTATTTTACTTCATTTAATACATCTGTGAGGGCCAGAACAATATATGGTATCGATAAATTACCTTTGCAAAATTTAAAAACTTCTTCAAGACTTCATGCACACCCTATATATGGCCCCGGAAAACCTAATTAGTTTTATATTATTCAGAAGAAAAAAATTCATTAGACACAGACAATCGGGGTTCGTTAACCGTAAGTGTTAAGTTGTATTTATAACTTTTTTTTGTGTCTGGACTTCGCGCCCACAATCGCTGATGGCACTAATGGGGATTAAATCTGGCGTAATCGTTTTCTTAGTGATTGTTTACGTTTTCTGACGTTCCGATCGCTTCCCGTCTGTGACCCGAACGAAACATATGGGCTGGGGACTGAATATTATTTAAGTCACAGATGGATAATAAATAAACCGCCTGAAACATTTGCTGATAAATATCTAGAGCTTAGTTGAGGGAATGTATGTTGAACATTAAGTCAAGTCAGGTCAAGTTTATTTTTTCCAACCATTGAAAAAAAATCAATCGAACGCAAATTACGAGAAAATGCTAATTACACAGTTTTACTGGGGAAGGGAAGACGCGAGGAACCGAAGCTAGTTATCGAGCAGCGACACCCGAGGTTCAAATATCTAATTTTGAAAAATTGAAATTTCAGAATTTGGCCGGTGAGTACCGTACGACAAAATTAACATCAAAATCGAAACAAAGTTTTATCACGGATTTTAATGTCTGTGTTTTCGTTAGGTTTCTATTTTTATACATGATTATTTCGTAGGCTCTTGATTTAGGCAGTTTTTACATGGTTTGGACTCCGATCACCCATGAGGTGTAGAAGAAAATACTTTTCGCTTTCTTCTGGTTAGGAACGGCGGCGAGTCGGCTGCGTTTGTTGTCTTCTGTATATTGTGGCTGTTTTATGTGTAAAATTACGGAGTTACCGTACAATAAACAACCAACCTGGAATCCTTGAGTATTCTGACTTATCGGTATTCACAACCAGAGCAAAAACCTATCAGTGACAGTTTCAAACAAATATATTTCTGCTGATTTTGAATGTCAGGGAATTTTACTTATTTAGCACTAGATTTAACAATAAATAAGCGAGCTTTTCGATTTACCCATTAAGCATTCTGAAGTAAACACAATTAAATCATGGTTGCGCTGAGTCAACGTTAGAATAAAAGTTATTGCTGACGGTACAAGTATTCTCCGGCCCATACTAGGCATTGTATAAGCGAAATCGCTCGTACAAGGGGAAATCTGGCCGACATGAATAATTTAAAGAAACCGCAAAATTGAATTGCTATCGACAGAAGAAGGTGAAACAAGTTTTAGGTAATGGTACGATAATATCATGATTTCATCTCGTCTGGAGTTTGTAGGCTGTTTCCCTCTTTGGACATTAATCTCGACTCAATGCTGAAAATAGCATCTTGCACAAGTCTATGAAAACTATTTGGTAGTATCTTGTTATAGCCCACAACTGTATTAGGTTCGTTTAGGATAAGTTGGGTTATTATTTTCTAAGATAAACACAGAAAAGGAGGAAAACCTAACTTAAATAGAATTAAGAATTTTAAATCAGCCCCCTTGCACACACAACAAAAATGCAATTAAACTCAAACGGTATTGAAAATGTTAATATTTAAACTTTCAGTTTTTTTTTTTTAGAAAAATGAGCTGTTTTGCAGCGTAAACATATTTTGGAAGAAAAACATATGACAAATATACCATGGTTTTCCTGCCAACTAAATCTATTGAGAATATCAAAATCGGAATTATTTCAGATAGAGAGTTCTTTAGTATCGAATTATTCGAACGAAAATAGATCCCGAGATCAATCTATTCTTGTTTTGGATAATCAGGGGAAAACCAATTTGCCAGCAAAACAGACAACGACGAGACAATTTCCAGACGTTTCATTTCAAAATGGGAAATTGAATTTTAAATGATTTGGATGACTAATGTGGTGTTTTCCTATTTATTGGATTATGTCGCCAGCAGGTCAGACATTACTCCCTCGCAATACAATATTTTGCTAAAGACGGTCGGTCGACGTTTATACAGCAGTGGAATATGTTTATTGAGTACTCCCGAAGTATGTGAACTAAGATGGCGGACACCGATATGTAGTTTGTGTACCTGGTTAGGGTTAGGCCATAATTTTATTATAATTTTTCTTATTTTAGATCTATTACCAATTTGGGGATGAGCCAAGTGACTCCTGTAGTATTTGTACCTGAAATCATGGCCCAACCCCGACCTAGTTGGTACACATACTATGTTCCGGTGTCCGCCATCTTGGTTCACATACTTCGGGAGCACCGTTTATTGTTTGTTTGTGTCAGTGTAACTAAGCTTACTTACTTTGATGTTTAATCGAAAACCCGTAATAAATAGCTTATTATAACATCTGGAATTATTAATAATAATAGTAATTCAAATTTCTACATCAAATTAGAACATTTCTTTCTGAATCTCAATTTCTGGATTTTTCTTTTTTGGTTCAACGAATGCCATATATGTGTTTGTTCACAATGCAAGTTGAGATTTATTCTACATCATCATACTGTCATGGTTTGTAAAAGCAAATTTTTCAGCATTACTGCGTAAAGGGGTGAGAAATTGGCCAACTTAGATCAAGAAACAAATGTAACTGAAATTGAATCTAAAAAGGTATCTTATTGGCATAACTTATAAGCCATACAACTACACAATGGCCAACGCCATCGAATTCAGATTTAGCAAAAACCATCAAATAAACAGCTTCGCCAATAACTCAAGTTCAATATTCTAGAGTTAAAGTCGAAAGCTCAACAAAATCTACAAATATAGTGACAGTCCAATTTCGCGCCGAGCGATTTTCGGAACACTCGTTCTTCGATTGTTTCCTTTATTACGAATCATCCATTTCACCTACGTAATAATGGATTGAGTCCTAGTCAATGGCCGACCCAATTGTGACATAATAATCAGATTCACTTCGAACCATAATAACTATAATTATCATATTTTCCCATGAATATAAGATTTACTCAAGATGGAAGCGCAACATAATTCAATTTTTTTTATATTTTTTTATTTTGTTCACTGACCCAGGCAGGCACAGGTGGGATTAGGCTAAGCGTTGTATGTTAAAGATCCCAGGTTCAAACCCCGTGTTCACTAACTCATCTAGAGTGTGGATAATCTATGTTACAAAACATAAAGATATTGGACTTTCTAAATGCACAGTAGCTCATTTTTCATATCTGTGAATATTTTTGTTTCGAGCTTTGTTCTGAGTGAAGATTTGATATACCTCATTGCTGGTGAGTACAAACTTGATACTTCGACTGAGTTTCGAACCCTCGACCTTCTGATTGAAAATACATTGTACTAACGCTTACTTGAGGGTGCATAGCAAGATGGACAATCCAGAGTCTATTATTGTCGATGTCCTTCCCGAAACAGTCCAAACAGTCTGGACTTCCTCCGAAGTAGCGATCATATTCGGCAGATTTGATTGCCCATCTTCCGTCAGCTGTGGCCTCAACGTGAAAAGCGTTTTCTTTGCCAGGAGTCTCATCGTCACAACGAACCTTTCCATATTTGTCAGTGCCAAGATAACGATTCAAACAGCTCTAAATAAAAGAAAATTGAATTATTGGACACGAATAGTCTTTACGAATCGTTTTACTGAATTGTACTTGTTGCTGATGGTCAATCACATAAACATATTATGGTCAATCACATATTAAATCTCACATCACTTAAAAAGTACTTACATTCACATATAGTCACATATATAAACTGTGACTTTCCTATAATGCACATATATCCAAATATCGTCACAAAACTATACACAGTGACTTTCCAAAAAAGCACATACCTCCAAATATAGTCACATATATACACAGTGACTTTCCTAAAAAGCACATACACCCAAATATAGTCACATATGTATACATAATGCCTTTCCTAAAAAGCACATTCATTCGAATATAGTCACATATATACTTAGTGACTTCTCTAAAAAGCACATACATTCAAATATAGTCACATATATACATAGTGACTTCTCTAAAAAGCACATGCATCCAAATATGGTCAAATATATACATAGTGACTTCTCTAAAAAGCACATGCATCCAAATATAGTCACATATATACTTGATGACTTCTCTAAAAAGCACATACATTCAAATATAGTCACATTTCTACGCAACTAATCGACCTTTCCAATTTAAATTTTCACAACTTATGGATTAAATAAGTCGCTGAAGGATTTTCCAACCAAGCATAAGATAAACAGAATGTTTCCACTCCAAACAAGGCTTTGTACAAGCAGAATCTGATAAGCAAGGCACTACTATTTTCCAGGTAAATCTTCAAGAAGATCCAAATGGCATGAACCCGAGCGGGTTCCATAATTAGTATAATTGGTAGTTCCCAAATGCAGTCTGTAAGTTATGAGGTCTGGTACAAGATATAAATTATGTATATACTTGTATAAACTACAAGATTCTACTTTAACAGAAGAATCCCGGAAGTAATTTTTTTAAAAGGGTTTATATTTAAAAATCTCTGATATTTAGTTTGTTCATGTATATACATATATAGCTTCTACGTGAAAACGATAGGCCTACGTAGTCCCGAAGTATGGAAACCAAGATGGCGGACACCGGAACGTAGTATTGTTAGGCCATAATTTTATCCCAATTTTCCTCATTTTAGTTCTATTACCAGTTCGGTGACTAGCCATGTGACTCCTGAAGTATTTGTGTTGGTGAAATTATTGTACACTTCGGGAGTATCCCCATATACCCTTACTCTATTTCCTCAAGTCGCATACACATGTACGACACATAAATACATTGTCCCAGTACTTATGTATGCATACACATATAAGCCACAGAGCTTTGTTAGTCGCTTAACATAAAATACACATAGTCAAGCCACATACACAAACTCACAACGTGTTAATATTCACATACTTATATAGTATAACATCCACACACATATAACATTATTTGCGCGCATAATCACACATACACTCACATACCTTCAAATGAACATGTGACAACGTGTTAATACTCATATAATATAACATCCACACACACACACACTCACATACCTTAAAATAAACACATGATCCATCAGCCTCTTGCTCCAGACACCAAATTTGTCTCTGCTTCATTCCAGTTGCGCTCGCATCAATTTTAAAATTGAAGGTCTCAGCAGTCAAATACCTGTCGGAAGAGTTGATGAGACCGAACGTGAACTTTAATGTATCATCTGTCATGTTGATTGTTTTTCTAAATCAATCGAACTTTACCAAGAAAATAGCAACTACGTAGAGCTCTCTATGTTAAAGGCTGCAAAAACACGTAAAAGATACAAAAATTTTACTAAAATATTAGTGTAAATATAGCTTTTGAAAACCAGATCGGAAAAGTGTCAGAGATATTTTCCACGACGTGGACCAGCGGCTCCAGTGGCGCAATCGGTTAGCGCGCCGTACTTATATGACAGATACGGAGTGATGCGGAGGTTGTGAGTTCGAGCCTCACCTGGAGCATTTTTTAGGCAACTATATCGTAGTGTATTTTCTAAAACCATCCTCTGAGCCGGGCAGCATCAGAAAAGTAGTCGAATCTGTTTTATCGGCGTGATTTATTTATCGTAACCAAATGCTCAAGGAAATTATAATTATGGCCCTTTTTCGAAAACATTGAAACACATAAGTGTATTTGATAGCTTATTTACAGTTAACACACAAAAATTCTATTCAATTTGGCGCAATTTTTGAAATCAATAATCCACGACGTGACGTAAATAACACCTCATTCAATCATGACAATATTATTAATTACTCCTGCTTTGTATGGAAGACATACAACCTGTATTTACCGGTACACTATCGATCGTGTCGGGATTTATTTTTACGTCGGTGAAGCTTCTCGAGAGGATGCATATGTGGTGTGATTTAACAGCAAGTAGGCGGATTGATTAGATATTATCCTATTATTTTCCCAACATTATCTTAGGCAAGGTTTCGCCAAGTTTCTCATAGTGTCATAAACCTAACTTATCTCAAAGATATCTGAATATGGGCTAATAAGCAGCGTTTTGGAAAATTATATATTCGATTCGTGATGAAACCTAGAGCGCTTATCAGCTCCAGTGGCGCAATCGGTTGGCGCGCCGTACTTATATGACAGATACGGAGTGATGCGGAGGTTGTGAGTTCGAGCCTCACCTGGAGCTAATTTTAACCCAACATTCAGATGATAATGTTTATAATGATTCTTGAACCGCGGGTTTAACTTTCTCCGAGAATCGTTCAATGTTTTTGACCTGAATCACTTACATCTCTCAATACCGATTTATGACGCTCTCGGATTCAAGTTAGACCTATCGCTGAGAAGTGAGAACAAAATTAATTCGTCATCACCATATTTGACTCGCACAGGCATATCATACGAAAGGCTGTATAGTTTGTAAATGTCGAAGCTGTCTCATCGGTCCTGTGTTCTATAAAACAAAGAAAGAATCCTTCCGATAAATGATTACGTGTTCTGCTTATGGCTTGGCGACTGTGACCATATATCTACCCCGTTCCAAATCTGCTGCTTGTATGGCAGCTAAATACAATGGAGGTCATTTAAATCTCGATTGGGACCATATATGCCCATCCCTTATTCCGACGTGCTGTCTATATGGCAGACAATAGCTCTCTACAGAGGAGGCTATTCAAAAGCGATTGTGATCGTATATCCAATCCCTAATCAGTGGCGTATCTAGCTAGGGTGTGGCAGCCATGGCTCGTGCCATGGGCGCCGTTTGAACAGGGGCGCAAAAACTGCAAAAAAGTATTAATAATAAAACGTTCCAATGAAATAATTTCAAATTGGGAATAACTAAAACTCGTATTTTACTCGAATAATAACATAGAAATATCCTAATTTATTAATAATCATTATAAATTATCAAACAACTATCAAAGGGGCGCATTTTTAGACTTTGCCATGGGCGCCATTTTAAGTAGATACGCCACTGTCCCTAATCCTGACCTACTGTCTATATGGCAGCCCAAAAGCCCTTCACAGAAAAGGCAACTAAAATTGCAATTAGCACCATATATCCACCCCATTCCTAACCACCTGTAACCACTATCATCCCACTAGCTTAGTCACGCAAAAAAAAAATTCTCGTAAACTTAAGCAACGCACTCTATCTCCCGTGTAAAGCTGTATTACCGTGACTTCTTGCGCTATAAATTGAATTCTCGAAATTGAATGTCAGCGTAATTGACAACACTCGGAAACAGCAAAGCACAATTTCGTTTCCGCTCTCATTTCTGCATGTCGGATTAGTCACGTGATCATTAATAACCCAAGTGCAAGAACACGACGAGAAAGTATTGCCATACATGGCCCCATGTTGCCCTGTTATTGCTCGCTTATCTGTTTTATTTCGTCCTGTTCATATTAGGTCGCCACACTGTTGGTTGCGCCGAATCGTGGGCAGCCGAAAATTTTCTAGTGGGTACCCAGTAAATTTCAATTATGACAGTGATGCACAGAAAGTTCTACAGATCCAACATTACATACAATTTTTTTGCCAAATGGATTTTGTTATATATCAAACGATCATACATACATTCCGTCCATTTCAGCTGGACAAATTAAATGCCCTTCACAAGTTTATTATATGGTTGAATTTGAAAATTTCCAACGAAATTGTTGAGCCTTGAAACCCATTCCTAACTTAACTATGGATAACTGTTATCCTAATTTTTGCCCGCCCTGTATTTGGCTCATATTCGAAAGCCTTCAAGTAGATATTCATTTAATTTCTTGTCAGGCTTCAATCGCACTCTTACGTGTTATTTGCACTCTACAACTGTTTTATTTTAATGTATTTTTTACTCTATATAAGGCTCTACACATCAGGCAACGATAAATGAGAGTATACTATTTTTAAAACGACCGCAATCATTGCTTACCAGATAGGCTGGTTATCAAAAAGCGACACCTAAGATTCTGATATATAATTGCGAGTAGAAAAAAAAATAGAAAATTTTAGTTTTTACATTCTTTTCATAATGCTGTTGCTATCGGATGAGTGTCGGCTTGGTTAGCTTGCCAACACTTAAAGCAGGAGAACATACGGCTGAGTAGGTAGCGTGACTATAGATCCTCGTATTATTAATTTGTATTAATATTTGTCGATGTCATTAAATCTCGATCTAAAGGAATAAGCAAAATATCACAGTAGGGCACTATACTGTTATTGAGGTACTCGTGTAGTTTGTGTACAAGGTTAGGGTTAGGCCGTAATTGCATCCCGATTTTCCTTATTTTAGTTATACTGCGAGTTCGGGGACTGTCTGTGTTAGCCAAGTGAATATACCACCTGCATATCAGTCCCTTTACACAACTTGATAGGCGAACAAAATCAGTTACCTTCATATTGGTGCACACGCTCCTGAAGCGCCGTTATTGGTTTATTAATCTGTTTTCTTTGGTTTTGTTCAGCTTAAGTCAGGTGGGGATAGGCTATGTTTCGTCATTCGCCCGCCATTAATTTTCTGACATTTTTTTTTATGTTTGAGCCTGTTTATCACAAGTTAGGCTACTGGTTCCCAATCTTTTTTCCAAGCGACCCAAATTTATTAAAAAATAATTTTTATAAAATCTCTTGACTCAAGGATATGCTCAAATACTAAGCGATATGTAACGCTCAAGTTCAAAATTGTTACAATATTAACTTACAGACTAATAACAGCAGATGCCAAGTTTTTACTGTGCTACTTCCCACTTATACAATTACTATTGAGCAACACTGCAATATCAAATATAAAACTAACAATAAAAATCACTAAAAAATAAAATCAGTAACTTCGGTTTTTGTTGATAAATCAAGCGACCTGAGAAAATTTTCAGGCGAGTCAGTTTTAGGTCCCGACCCCCGACCCATAGGTTGGGCAACACTGAGTTGGGGATTCTCCACCCTGCTTCTAACTTGACCACAACAGAAAAGAGAAGAAGTGATACAATTGCTTATTCATATAACGAGCCATGACTTGTTAATTAACATAGAACATGCTATAAAATATTTGTATAGAATATAATATACAGGCTGTCCATCAATTTTGCCTTACTTATAGTAATAACAATTGTAAGTTTAAATTAATTCTATTGTATGATAAATGAAACTAAAAGCACCATAAAAACTATTAATAAACAAAGACAAATTAATTTTGTAATTGTTATCACTATAAAATCTGGTGAAATTATTTTGACACTCTGAATATAAATATCTCAGGATTAATATTCATAAGATAATTATGAATGTTTAATTAGCATTAATAATTAGCATGTCCGGATAAACGACCGGACATGCTAACTCTTCCTCAACTGTAACATATATGGACTAATCTGAAAATTTTGGTCGGCACTCGGGTATCGACAAATTTAAATGAAATTCTCGTAAAACTGCGGATACGCTTCCTGTGGAATACATTGTAACGGTCTAACAATAGAAAATCGATACACGAGGTAGGTGAATGAGAAAAAGCGACAGAAAACGATACATATAAGAGGCTAAATTTCATCACAGGGTGTTTACTTAGTAATTAGAGCAGTGGCACCCCACCTTTTAGTGCTCGTGACCTCCTTGTGGAAGCTCTTAGCGCTTATATGGCCCCTGTTTATCATTCCAGTTGTATTTATAGCGTTATTTTAATCGGTATATTCCAAATTCCATTATGTTCAAACAATTCATGCTCAACAAAGTGAAAACGTCCTGTGAAATAACTTTATCAAGCAATGGGGGGGGGGGGGGGGGGGAAGGAAAAAGTAAAATAAGTTTTGCGTCTAACATTGTGGTCCCCCTTCATCCCCTATGCTCACCATATCACACAAACGACAATAGTTTGCGTAGGCTAAGTTGAACCAAATAGATTCCAGCCGTTTAGAACAGAATAGATATCTACCGTATGTATCAGCAGTTGCTTGCCTTAATCTGAGTACAATGCCAAACACCATATACAATATACTATGCCTAACGCAATCGACTAATAATGGAACATTCTACATCTAATAAACACATTTCAAAGCGAAGTATGCAATTTGCTCTATCGTATGAAACGGCACGCCTTAATCGTGAACTTTTAACAAACGAATGTCAATTTAATTCTTTCTTTAATTTCCGTCAGAAGACATTTTTCCTACAAAAGAAACTTTCCCGCTAATGGTCCACATTAGTAAAAAATTTGACGAAATCGCGATATAATTCGCGCAAAAGGTCAGAAATACAATAAAATCTTCTTCACCTCTCTGAAGACCCCTTTCCCACAAAATGACCTTTCCCGC